CAAATCGCATTTTAGCATCATCCGCAGCTTTTTTTGATTCATTTGGCCTCACAAAACACTGCGGGACTAATACAACATCAATCATCAATTTAAAACCACGTTACCTTACCATGATCCTGACTTAGACTTTTGCTTTTATCGTATTAAAATTACTTTATTCGCAAGAGAAGTATGAACCTAATGATGTGATAGAAAAGATGTTCTTAATAATACTGTACCTGACAACATAGCAGTAATGCTCAATATCTCATTGCTGCAATTATGATTGCAGGATGCAATGAGCATTTTTGCCAATTGAGGATCTAATGGAAATTCTGCCATCACAGCACCCAAATCTGTGAGATTTCCATCATCGTCTAAAGCAGCCAAATAATTAAGAAGTTCTAAAGCCCTCATAAGAGTTTCTGGTGCAGGAGGGTCCATAAAATCGAAATGAACCTACAGTAAAAACAGTTTATGGAAATAATTATTTAATAACATATTCAATTGGAAATAAATTATATTCATGAGAAATGCAATATACCAAGTCGTCAATGCCAAGCTTTTTCAGTTGCAATACGACACTGCCAAGATTAGATCTTAAAATTTCAGGATAAGTATTATCTTGCATCTCGTTTTTATATGCCTTCTCAGTATACAATCTGAAACATTTTCCGGGCCTTGTGCGTCCGGCTCTACCAGCTCTTTGCTGCGCAGATGCTTTACTAATGGGTGATACAAGGAGAGATTCTACACGAATTCTGGGATTGTATACCTGTTAAATAATGTAACAGGAATTTAAAAAACTGATTTAATGCAGTACAAGAATAAAAAATAATAATGATCTATAGTCTGTTCACTAAGACAACCTTCACAGTACCTTCTGCTTTGCAAATCCAGGATCTATCACAAAGACGACACCGTCGATAGTTAACGATGTTTCCGCAATATTCGTTGAAACTACTACTTTTCTACCAATAGCACCATTAGGCTTTGTAGGTGGTGCTGGTTCAAAGATTCTTTGTTGAAGATTTGGAGGCAGTGTAGAATAGAGTGGTATACATTTAAGTTCACCTACTTCTGGACCTAAATTATCCATCTCCCTTTTGATTCTTTTACAAGCTTCTTCAATTTCCTCTTGACCAGTTAAAAAGAGGAGCAAATCTCCTGCTACTTCTTCACACATATGAATTTGAATAACTGTCCTGATAGCAGCCTCTAAGTAATCCCTTTCAGGCTCAGGTGTATAAAAAATTTCAACAGGGTGAGTTCGGCCAGGTACGTTCATTAAGGGTGCATTATCAAAATACTGCTGGAATTTTCCAGCATCTAAAGTTGCACTCATAATCACAAGTTTCAAATCCGGTCTTTGTTTAATCACTTCTTTTAACACACCCATAAGCAAATCTGTAGCTAAAGTTCTTTCATGAGCTTCATCTAATAATATCACTTGGTAAGCATCAAGCATGGGATCTGACATTCCTTCACGTAACAGCATACCATCAGTCATATACTTCAATATAGTTTTCGGAGAACTACAATCTTCAAAACGAATACTGTATCCTACTTCCACACCTGTTTAAAAAATTGTTGTGAAGACATTATATAAATATACCTCAGTTTTTAATTCAGAAATATAAAAACGTCTTCAAAGTTAAAAGGACATAATACATACCTAATGGAACATCCATTTCTTCTGAAACTCTTTGTGCAACAGACATAGCTGCTACTCTCCTTGGCTGAGTGCAAGCAACACCCTTGTTGTCAATACGCCTTGAATATTCTACACACCATTGTGGTATTTGTGTAGTTTTTCCAGAACCTGTTTCTCCAACGAGTACAATACATTGATGTTGTGCCAATAATCTCATAAAATCAGTACGGTATTCAAATACTGGTAAAGTGATTCTCTTTTTATAAAGTTCATGATATCTTGGTGTAAAAGGTAGACTAGTATAAGGATTTAGCTGAACTTGATTTTTTGGTGCTGTCGAAGGTATAGTTGTGCTATTGGATGTAGCCGAGCCATCTCTATAAAACAACAGATAAACTATAGAGTATATGAAGCTGGTCCAATTTATTATTTGAAAATTATTTTAATCACATAACAACGAAATAATACATGAGTGACAATGACATAAAATAATGAAAGTTGAGAACACTTCATTGTTATGAAAACCAATCAGATGGAAAACAAATGATATTTAAGTTCATCCGAAATTTCTCTCGTGTATCTATAATTATCTATAACGCGTATGTTTTCAGCGTATTGTAAAATTATGCATTAATTTCCCATATATATTAATATACAACATACTATTGAAGAAAGAAATTTAGTTGAGAACCTTTATAGATGAGTTGATCAAGTCAGTCAACAGCAATAGAAAAGAATTGTTCTATGAATTTAAAATGTTAGATCATTTTATTACATTTATTGTTCAACGGATTAATCGTATTTTACATAGATTATTTTCAGGAAGCGGGGTTCGTTCAATGAGATGCGCGATAGGATCACAAAAACTTGTAACGATGCACATGGCAAAATATCTCATCGAACTCTTTAATTTTTACAATTAAAAATGCTTTAAAACACTCACGCTTTCCGTTTAATATACGGATCCACAACCTCGATCCTTCGTTTGGACATAATTCTTGTCCCTCCGCAGGCAAGCAAAGCAAAATCTGTTTACGAACTTCCACACAAGGCGTCACAAAATGGCAAACTAACAGGCCAAAGCTTCCTGTAAACGTAATCACAAAAAGCAACGATAGATGGAGCTACAAATACCAGAAAAAGCAACGATAGATGGAGCTACAAGTGCCACAAAAAGCAACGATAGATGGAGCTACAAGTACCGTAAAATAACTACGAAACAAGTAATTCGAAAGCGATCAATTTTAAATTTATGTACAGATGAACAAATTTGTGCATTATCTTGAAATAAACAGACATAAGATAAAAAAGATATTTATTTCTCCGTATGTTACAATTAGAAAAATATATAATTAGGATAGTTATTAAACAGTTATATTCCTAACAATATACATTGCTTCATTATCACATCCAAAAAGTAATGTTGATCTATCGATGTCAATACTGTTTATTGGCTTATGCATAGCACTACAAAGCGATGTTACATTAACTTTACCATTTGTACCAATCGTGTTTAACCAATGTGTATTTGTAGGGTCTAAAAAAGGAATAATTTACTAATATACAGTGAGATTTGTTTATTACAAAACTTACCTAAACTTAGTTTCGAATGTTGGGCATTATTCCAATGCCACAATTCACCACTTGTTGAACACGTAAATAGATTTTCTGGTCTATCAGGGTGAAAAAGTATTTCACTAACAGCCTTGGCATGGGCATTGAGTTGAGACATTGGGTATGTATTATGTCTCAAGTCCCAAACTGTTAAGCTGCCATCTCCACCACCAGCCACGACAATATGTCTCTGAGTAGGATGATGAGCAATACTCGTAGCTTCTGTCTGCAAAAGTTTCTCTTTACTTGGAGGTATATAAATAATTTCCTAGAGATAATATTAAAGAGATTGTACTTTTGATTGATCAGAAAGCATGAATGTTGTAGCAGGAAGATCTTGATCATTTCTTAAATCCCACACTTTCATATGTCCCCTTAAATTTCCTGTAAGTATCTCATTATGTCTTAAGAAATCAATACAATATATAGAGCAACTATCCGCATCATCTAAAACATAAATTCAGCTATTTATGTGTAAAATCAACATATAAAATAAATATTTTATGTACAAAATAAAATTTTATAGTACTAATAGATCTAATTGGCTGCTTCTGCCCAGCTGTTAAAAGATTAATTCTCCCATCTTCACCCACTGAAACTATGTCTTGTTCAAACGTAGAAAGTCCAGTACAAGATGCATAATCGCTTGTATTACTATTAAAAAAAGATTAATGAAGCATAAACTGTGTTTAAAAAGAAATAAATCTTAATTAATATATAATTAATTTATAATATTAATCTATAAATGAAACTTACTCAAATTTGTGTATAAATTCCCATGACATGTGCTCTTTAAATTGAGAGTATGGATTTTCATGAATCTGTAACAACCTAACAGTACCTATAGATGTTGACACCACGAAGAAATCTTTTGAAATAAACTGTAAAAATAATAAAACGTTGATGAAAAAATTATCCATGATATTTTTTATATATTATAAAGTAAAAACCTTTATTTCAGTTACGTCTCCGAGAATTGCATAAGATGATACGACTGCCGGATAGGATTCACCATCGTCATTCATTTGAAATGTCCAATGTGTTACTTTATTTACCTATTACATGATAGAAAATTACAATATTACAAATGATTAACATTATTTAATACAATAATCGTAAATAATTCGTATGTACATGAGAATGCATTAGGTTAAGTTTACTGAAGATAACCCTACCGGATCATCCCAACTACCGGTTATAAAATTAGTAGCATCTTCAAAATCTGCGTGTTTCCATCTGATTTTAGAAATTTTTTCCGATACAAATGTTCCTTGTACATTTTCGCTCATTTTGCTACGAAATACGATCTAATTTAGAGTAGAAAAGACAAAAACTAGAACCTCCGTTTACATGCACGCGCGTTTCCACGCGACTGTGAAAAAGACCGCCAAATATGTTAAACAAAACTTTTGAAACGAAATCTGCCTACTATTATATTTAATTCCCTTATGTAATAAATATACAGAGAAAATTGTTTTAATAATTTTAATTGTTTTAGTTATTTTACACAATTAAAAACGGTCGTTTTACTTTTATTAAAAATTTCATCATTTAAAAACATTGGGTACTTGCTTAATTTATAAGCAGTTTGAATGTGTGTGTATATATAAAAATTCTTAGAATTTAAAAATTAAAATTATTTAAAAAGGAAAATTAGTGATAAGTGTTATATAATTCTTACATATGTATAAATTACATCGTTTATTTGAAAAAAAGTATTTCTATAATTTTTGTATCTAAGTTGATTACAAGAAGGGTAGGGATTTACCTATATTTTATAATTCACGGGAGATACAGAGGACAGTTACGCAGTGATCAGGTTGTGAACTAGATGTATATCTTACCTACCGAAACGTAAATTATTTCAAACGAAACACTATCTCACGATTGAAGAAGTTTCGAAGAGCTCTAATATGATCATCTGAGAATGCTGTTAAATCTATTTTTACAAGTTTCCGGAAATTGCGACATTCTTATTTAAGTGAGTATAAATTCGAATGATCTTAGAACGAGTTACTCCCCAAGATGTCATCGATGGTTTTGCTGTTCTTGTATCTGAATACGCTCCACTTAACTCACTGTGATGCAAGCGATGCAAACGACTTGCAACTATGTAAGTATTAATGGATAAAGGTTTCTATATGATGTTATAAAATTATTTATGTATCGATGAATAAAAGATTAAAAAATGTAGAAAAGTTTTATGAAAAAAGAAATAAAATTTCAGCTGTTACAGACACGAATTTAACGAGTGACGAAGGTGTCACGGAAACGCAACATGCAAGTTGTAAAATCGCTACAGAAGAATTGGTTGCAAGCGCACGTACCAGTGTCACGAGAATACTTACTGGAGTTTGTAATACTAGTAGGAAATAACTTCTAATCTTTTTTCAATTGTTCACGTTATTTTCTATTATCTAATTTTATTCCTAAATATCCAGAAATGATCGATGAAAAGTTGCGAGCTTTAGAAAAAGGCCTGATCAAAGAACTGGAAGAAATCAAGGCATTGCTAAACACTGTTTTGGAGGGGAAAAAGGAAGTACCAAAACTGGCGAAATTATACGACGATTATCACGAAGGCAAAAGCGATACACTCTCTCCAAGACAGTCTGAAATCGATAACTTTAACAATACGATCCAAAGAACTTCATTATTAAATGGTTTGTACCATTATGTTGTAACATTATTAAGAGATTTGACTGAGACTTGGGAATTGATTAAATCGCTGAATTATAGTCGAATATTGGACTAAATAGAATTACAAATAAAATATAGAGTTAATACGGTATCTGAATATGTCCCAGGGCCCGCGAACCTCTTCTTTTACTACTGGCAGATAAAGCATTTTGACGAGAAGCTTACCAATTGGAAAACTGCTCGTTGCCTACGCAGTTCGACATTTTACGTGGGCCAGAATGGGTATGCCATGTTCATCAAAGTAACACCGCGATATTTTCCGGACGGTACAGTTTTCATAGGCGTCGGATTGACCCGTGGTCGTCATGATTCTATTCTGAAGTGGCCATTTCCCCATAAGATTCGCCTCGAGGTAAAATCAACATTTTTACTCTTAATCCCGTTGGAGCTTTAAAATGATCGTGTTTTCAGATTTTAGATCATTCATCGGAGCAATCGCGACAAGATCGAAGATCACGGATTTGGGATCCGTCCACACTTTGCTCGGAATATTTTTGGGGCCGTCCAAAATTAACTGGAGAACCAGATAATGCAGAATGCGTTGGACTGAGCGTCCCACGACAGATTTTTTTTGTCAAGTTGCCCGTTTCGATCGATCGTCCGTCGAGAAGCACTAAATATCTTTGGAATGGAAGTATCACGATCAAGTTGACTGTTTATCTTTAAATAACTTTTATACTAAAATTTATACATTATGCATAGTAGTGTACGTAGTAATTCTACTAGATTATAATATTCTGTAATTAACTTTATTCGAGTTTCATTAAACGTACAAGTAATTGTATAAAGGAAAAGTTTATAAAAGTAACATTTAATTGTCAATGGATTAAACTGTATCTTCTATCGTTTAAATAAATTCCATATGCAAATAGAAAGGAACGAGAATGAAGAAAGAATAATAAAGTGACATATTTTTTAATATTCTTCTTCGCGAATAATTCGCGTCATTTGTAGATTTAAACGACTGAGTTAATTCAGGGATGTTGATGAAATATCGAACCTCTTATGAAGAGGCATTCTACCGGATAAATAAACCTGTGGGATTCCTGATAATTGATAATCATTTGTATTACGTTGAATTGTATTTCGAGTATTTTGAGTTGCTGCCCTCAGCAATGCCTTGTAAACAGAAATCGGAAGTCGAATGCTGCCATTTGTTTCCATGCCCTGAGATTCTATTGAATTTTCATGAAAATTCCTCTTTCTTCCGCATCCTGGAACCAATCGATTATTTTAGAATGATAAAGGGTTTCATAAAAAAAATGATCTTTGCCAATTTTTTCAATCTTTTAGATAATATGGCATTCTAATAGTCAAAAGCAGAACTCATGACATGGTGGAATTCTAAAAAATGATTATGTTCTAATTTATCGTCGAATGAAAATTAAATGCTTCTATAAAAACATTTACCTGGGTTCGACAACCGCGTAATTTAATTAAACACAGGTATTTTATGATATAATCTTAGATATACTTATATTACGATAAACATTTTGTTAAAAAGAATTGAAACAGAAATTAAAAAACTATACCTAGACTAGGAATATAAAGAAAGAATACAAGAACATTCTTCCGTTTTTTTTGAAAGAAGATAAACATGCACAAGGGTGATTTTTGTTACGAGCCCTTCAATCGTATCTGATTGGGGACTGGAAATTAGGTTTTTCTTACCGGTGAACGCATTGCAGAAAGGTCTCTTCATCTTCAGCGATTCATCTGTTAAGAAGGCGTCTAACAATTGTTGCTCGATCTAACAGTTGATTTGATCAATTAATTATCGCTATAATTATGAACGTGGTTTGCTTGTTAAGATAATAATTTACCTTATCCTGCGGGTTCTCAGACTGTGTCAGGTTCACTAAGCATACGAATATGAAAATACAGCAAACGTGGTTGATTGCCTAGAGGTGATCGAAAAATGTTAAGTTGCAGGGAATATTGAAAAAAATTCTGATTATTTCCAATAAAATGAAAGTTGTCCTCGTTATTGGTTAAACTGTATAACGTTGTATTCGTTAATGAACCGATTAAAACCCAGAACAAGATCTCAATAATTACTGAGGCTACGCGTAATTTCTAATAATCATATCGATTATATAACTATCGCACGTGAACCTTTCAAACATGTTAACTGTTGTAATCTGCTTATGACTTTAATCAGGTTTGTACTGCGGTTAATTAATGTCGAACGATACTAGCCGGTCGATCGTTCCTTCGAGCAATACGTTCGTCATCCATGCAAATAAAAGCTTTTTAACTTCGCGTATAACGTAATATACCGACCAAGTGGACTGCAACAGTTCAATAATGTAATTACAAGTAAATTACAAGTTTCATTATATTTTAATAATCGCTCCTCGTTACTTTTAATACCTTTTTCAAAGTTTCTCTATTGAAAATCGTAATAGGCAATATCGAATGTAATTACATTTTTGATCAGGAAGGGAAATTGGAAAATAGTAACGCGACCTCTTCAGAGGCTGTCAACTAGTAACTAGAAATTTATATTATAAGGCGTCAGGAAATTAACGTGTACGTAATTCATAATGGTTAAGACATAATAGTAAATCATAACGCGTAAGAGAATATTGTTCAAGGTATACATAGAATATAATACACGTAAAAGTCTTTTTACGTACAGTGGATTTTATCAATGTAGGTGTATATAGTGATACAGTTAAAAATTATTCTACGCAACACTATATTTTAATAAAAAAGTATTTTTTCCGAATTTGAAGATTCAAATGGCTGAATGAGAAAAATATGTTATAAGAGTTACTGTTCGGAATTTTGAGTGACCGTCCGTTTATGGCACGGACAGGCCCATTCCCTTCTTTAGGAAATTCCAAATTACATGTCCTCCCCGAGCTGTAAACCTAATGACTACGAAGTCAGGTAAAAATCCCCGGGAAAAACCAACCGGAAGGGCAGGATGAGCAGACGAAACTAGTAGAGAGAATCAGCAACGTAGGAGGAAAGTTCATCATCAGATATCGTAACCGTAAAGATATCGTGCCGGTAAAATACTTCACTCCCAACAAGATCCTACCACCGCCGTGTTCATAACATCACACGTTACTTTTATATAAGTGCAAATACAGTTTTAGATTAATCTAACACTCGATCTATTTAACTTTCTCCACCTTGAGCGTTAAGTCATTCGAGGTACGCGATATCGACCGATCGGTTTGACCTGACCGGTTGGTCTTTAGTCGAGAATTCGCAACAGTTACCTTCATGTCGAATCTTTATAGCTTGAAGATCGGCAATACAAAGAATTATCCTTAGAGGCGCACGAAGAAACACTGTCTTGGTTGAACTTTCTTCCTTTGGTTCGGCTACGTCTTTTGATAAAAGGATAAAAGGTTACTCGCGGAAAGAGTCAAGTCTGCGTATGAGGGATGAAGTCGCGCCTCAGCTCTTCAAATACCACCCCCTCCTTTAGTAGCATTCGAGGGCGTAAATACATGCGCCAGAGGAACGCATGACCGTTCATAATGGCTCATGGAACGGTACATTTAACGTTCTTTACGCAGAATGTGGTTAGTCTTACGTATATTTCGCAGTCTGAATGGTGCAAGAAACACAGAAATTATGCATATGTTCGTGTCTTATTCGTATCATGCACTTCGTTTGTTGTAACTACCGATGCGTTAAAAATTAAAGTTTGCTTACATAATACACAATATAATGTACTCAAAAACTATATACACCGTGGTACACCAAAGTATTCAAATACTCAGTGTAGAAAATTTTTATCAAACATATGAGTTATACGAAACATTTCGAAATTTCTACAAGTGCTCAAATACTTTCACAAGACACTGTATATACGATACATATATAATACACAATAGCTATGCTGTTAAATGTGCAATATGTTAAAATAGAAACTTCTTAGATATATCAAAACAATTCAAAAGTTATATTAATAATTTCATTTATATATTTTGCAAAACATAATGAAGTTCTAAGGAGCGAGTAAAGGAACAGCAGATTTTTTCTATATAATTTTAATCTTAAGTAATATTTTTCCGGAAAGAGTATCATCAAATGTAAGTTCTCAGCCGTGGAAGGTTTTAAATCATTCTGTACCCCCTGCGACGTTATCCCAGTTATGTCCATCGAGAGAAGTAGCAAACTATATTTGATAAATATGCAAAGGCTGACAACAAAAGATCGAAACATAGTAGAACGATCAAGGCAAGAAGCAGCTTATGGAAGACTGATCGACAAGAAATTCCGTGTAAATCAAAGGAAAGCAGCCGGGGCTAAGTACTAACAACGTTCGCGCATCAGTACCCGCTGAGTTACATTAAAGTTGTCCAACCCTTAGCAACTGCCCCTTGTCCGCCTCCGTCCATTCAAATTTTTAACATCCTTTTTTTTTCATTGTTTAGTCTGTTGTATATCGAACATAAATTAATACTGAATGTCAGGAGATGTAAGGATTAAGAAAATAATATTTCGTTTTGTAAAATAGTATTCTTGGAATCAAAACACTTTTAAGAAATGAAATATGTGACATAAAATACACGCGCTGTGCTAGTGAATTCTTAATTTTCTCTCTGATTTGAGTATATTTTATTATGAAATGCAAAAGTATCTATAAATAAAATCTGATGTTAAATTTGTACAGTTTTTACGTTCTTGATACTTGGTCCTTTCTAAACTATCATGTATGTTAGCCTTGTTGTCCTCTCTTTATCTTTTTTCAACATTTTAATAATGTGTCAAATATATGTTGATCATAATCGTCTTAATATTGTAAATCACGACGGGTTCGCAGCTTATGAATAAGAGATGCGTACAGAACTATATTACTCTTGATATATGACTCTCTTCGTGTATAAAACGAGTGAATATTACTTGTGTGCGCGTTATATTCTCTTCGTTAAAAATGTCTATATGAAAATAAATCTATCAATATTCAATAAAAATAAATAAATGTTAATAAAAAGGAATTATTAAAGCTATGCAAGATATTCTTCATTAAAATACAATAAAATAAGTGAAATAATTTTCTTATATATGTCGGAGAAGAGTCAGGAACAGGGTTGTGGGCGTTTGATAGACCTCCCTTGGAGTTGGCCATCGTTGTGTTATAACGAAGATACGGCCTGATACTACGAGTATGAATACTACCGATTCGACAATCAACAGCGGCGATTAGGCACTTGCGACACTAGTGATAGTGGTCTTAGGTTCCATAACGAATCCACGGTCAATGGGAGGATAGCTATATTTGCTCTAACTCAAACGTGTACTATTCGCTCATCGTAAGGCGCTACTCCCTTCGTCGATGAGATCTCAAGAAAGAATGAATTTTCGTCCCAATGATGCCACAGAGGAAAACTATGATGGGGTGTGTCCAAAGACACGCGATCATCGGATTCGTCAAGTATAGCCCTCGTTCCGAAAGTAAGGGAAATTGACGTCGCTGTCAACTGGTCAATTTGGGACAAAGACTGCCTGTCCGTCTGAAAATCTTAATTACCAAAAAAACCTCTAACTTTACTTGTGTTGTGTACGTGCCTCAACATCAGGTATTCATTGTCCGAAGGAACCGTTGGCATGTTTTATTGTCAGGTAACTCTATGGGTATTTCCTTTAATGAGGGTCATAACTCCGCACCTTTGTTAGACGGAGCGTCCATCCGTTGACCACGGCTACGTTCGGCGACTGATGGTCGCCTTGAGCCCAAGTTTATCATCACAAATCGCAAACAAGTACAATTGAGCAGAATGACGGCAAATTGTTTAATTACAACTGTAAACTTTAGTTACGATTTTACGGATTTTCCCGAAGTTCCAGGGGAAGGCTCCGGTGTCCTTTCATCTCCGACATATATATGATATATTATTTAAATAATGGGAATAATTAATTAAATATATGAATGATTTTTAATATAGATACAGTGCTTAAAATATTATAAAGACCCAATTCACAGATGCCTGGATAGCTCAGTCGGTAGAGCATCAGACTTTTAATCTGAGGGTCCAGGGTTCGAGTCCCTGTTCGGGCGTTATAGCTTTTTGCAATTTTTTATTTTATCTATAATGATACCATATAGCGATAACAATGATACATAAAATATATCAGCGGTTTGTTGAAACACTTCGAAAACAAAAGAATAAATATATATTGCACTTTAACACAACAATTGTTTCTGAAGTTTTAATGTGGGAATATGCAGTAACTTTCAGGGCAGAAACGAAACACCATATTGTATAAAAATTTCCATTTTTATATCTCTTTAACTTTTCATTTTACATTAGATGACTGTACACAAATAATGTGTAAGATAATTTCAATATCATTTACAGAACACATAGAATAAAAATCATCACAAAAACAGAAAACTCGATATTATCCCAAGTGTTCTGTTTTTTGATAAATTACAATATAAATAGATAAAAGTTCAGTCTGTAGAACACAATCTCTTTTAAGATTCACTTATAAAGAGAGTAACGTAAAAATACATGAATGTAATGGAAATGCGAGTCATGATGAGTATGATAATGCATTATCACTCTAGGAAAAAACCTCCAAACCCTTTCGTCAAAATTTAAATTAAGTCTTAGTCAATAGTACTAATATCATGAAAAATATACCTAACATTTAAACTACATTTCAGAACTGTTCTTTAACACTACCATCAGGCATTCCAAAGAACACTTTTTCCGCCATTTTTATAAAAAGTCCTGTTTCCACAACTCCAGGCATCATCGAGATATCTATGTTAATTTTATTCCAATTACTCAAATGTTGTGGGAAATGCCAATCGAGAATGAAATTACCATTGTCTGTTATAACTGGACCCTAAAAAAAGATAAATAACGTAATTCATGTAATATTCATAAACACAGAAAATAATTTATTAGGAAAAATATTTACAGCTTTAGCCAAAGCCATCCTAACTTTTACAAATCCTCCATAATTATCTTCTATTCTTTTTTGAATGACAGTGTATGCCATTGGAACTACTTCAATAGGAATACCTTGCTTATAGTTTTCACCAAGTTTTTGAGAATTTTTCCTAAAATCATTAAGTATTATAAGTAAAAATACACATATTTTGTCTACAAAAATACAACACTTACGTATAATCAGCTATTATAATAAATTGACTAGCACAGGATGCAACGATCTTTTCTTGAAGTAAACAACCTCCTCCACCTTTGATGATATTCATATCAGAGTCAACTTCATCTGCTCCGTCAATTGCACAATCCAACTGTTAATATTCGAGCAATAATATAGAAAATATTTTTGTAAATAATATAGATAAAAAATTGTTCATTACTTGAGGATAACTCTCCAAATCACCTAGGCGAAGGTGGTTATTCAATATTAACTGACGAGCTTGGAACGAAGTTGGAACACAAACGACATTAAGATTCTCTTCCTTTACACGTTCAACTGAAAAACACAGTTTTCTCCATCATTCACATATATATTCAAGATTACAATATTTAATTATTTAGCTTGATAAAATTTCCTGTCTGTGAATTAAAATATTCTTGTTACAATTACATTTGAATCAAGTACAATCTTATCTCCTGATGGGGTCAAAGGTGCACTATGACGATTTTATAACAAAATTAATTAGATATAGACTGTAGCAATAGTACAGGAAATTTGGTTATGAACGATTATAATTAAGTAAAAAATACTGTTCTTACCAATTCTGTGAACAGCATATATTATAGTAGATCCACTACCAATTCCAATAACACTATTATTCTGCAAAATAATTGTGCGCAAAATTCAAACGATGAAACACCAGTGAGTTATTTAAATTAGTATTTATTTATTTATTTAATTCAATTTATTTAAAATAGAAATTACCTTCACATATTCATCAACTGCTTTGTAAGCAGCAACTTTCTTAGCACTCTCCAACGGTCCCATTTTTGGCAAGATTCTTGAAAAACTGAAAATATTTGCTAACGAGCAAAGCTGTAAACCTTCGTTAAGTACTATGCGTGCATACTGTGTGTTACTGAATAAATTGTGCATTTCAAAATGGTTCTACACTATCGTTACAATCGTTAGGTCAGCGAATCACAAAAATGCACTTGTACGCAGGTCTGGCGCAAAATTCAAATGATTCAAAATTCAAAATTCCAACAATCGGGAATGTAAAAATTATAATTTTTCGTTATATAGAATAAACATAAACGATGCAATTTAATCGAATTTCCATTATATTTAGCATCAGAGGCGAATAACACAAAATACAACCAAACACAATTTACATTTCAATAATTATTATGTATAAGATTTCACTTTAATTCTCTATTATTACTTCAATAGTAATATTCGTCAACACATTCCACTTCAACATGTCACGCACAATATTTCTGTTTTATCATCGTAATTTCTTTCGTTCGTGCTCTCGTTCTTTCTCTCTTTTCTTTCTCACTTTCGTTCATTACGTCCGTACATTTTTATGTGTATCGGTCGATTTCTTTATCTTTTTTTAAAAATCAGGTAAAAATCCGCGAACAATCTCTCGCGCTGTAATTTTATTATGTATGTATTCGAGCAGGCTTAGGAAAAGATCGTTTAGCAAAAATTCAAGTACGTTGATACACGATGCCTTTAGTAGCAACTTTGTCGAAAATAAGAGAATCAAAAGCTCTAGATTTCCCCGACAAAATAGCTGCTGCTTGACTGCATGTACCGACGAGCAAGGCCGAATTAAGGTAATCTTGTGAAATGCACAACGACTGTGTGATACCTAATACTATACCGATCGCAAAGAAATCAGCCTTGCATGATACAACTAGGACATCTACCACCATCTTGTCCTTCCAAGATTTACACACGAAAGTCTGTTTCTTTTTTCGCAACGAAGAGTGAACATTATTTCGAAGCTTACATACATAAAGCCGCTGAATGCTTATTATGATTTATTTTTTAATTTCTTTAGCTCAGGCAGTGGATCACGGTTAATGCGGCCGTGCCAATAAGTTCATAACTCCAGTAAGTTTGCAATAATACTAATTGCAACGCAGGTCAGTGTCTGTGTGTTCGAAGATGTACTTTCTATTTCTCTCTTTCTTCTTCTATTTCGCTTCAGCCTGGCTGTGGGTGTCTATTTCTAAAACGATAAAATCGGCGTCTATTTTTTCTTCAACCGAGAAATTCGTAAAGTGAAAATTACATTCAAGGAAATAAAAAAAGAGAAATAAAGAAAGGAAGAAAAAGTTAAAACGTATTTTCTCCTTCTGTTCTTCATGTACAGGCACACACATACACGCGTATGTATACATACAGCTTTTTCTCTCGTTCATTCTTATACTGTTTCTGTTTGCCCGACGAACTAGAAAGGACTTTGTGTGGGAGGCTTCATGACATCAACTTTCTGTTTTGATTCTACCCTCCTATCCCGTACACCACCCTCGATCACGTAAAACAAAATAATGCAGAAAGAAAAATTGTTTAGATCTTTAGATGGGCCACAGAAGCCGCTACATTGTGTTTTAACCCACTTTTCTTTCTAGTGTTACATACATATATATGCGCTTTGCTAACTCCTACAAATTTTTTTCTATCGTGCTCTCCTCCGTACACCACTCACTTCTTCCTTTGGCTAGGATTACAATCAAAACTCGTCAGAGTTTCGTGAAAAATATGTACCGATTAATCTTACGATATCGTAATATGCTTCGAAGAAAATAATGCGCTCAAATTTCTTTTACTTATCTTTGGATCAAGACGGGAATCTAGAACACGACATGATTCTTTTTTTCCTTTTTAATCAAATTAGCGATGAATTAAAGATTTTACTCGCACTTACTGATGACGTTAGTCGTATTTGCGTATAGCAGATGAATTGAACGTTAATATTGAAACTAGTATTTCAAAGTTACCTTGTAACTAGTTCTGATTTGACTTTATTCAATATTAAAGACATATATATATATATATCTTCTGTTTCCTTTCTACTCATATCGTATTCTTTTCGCTGACTGATAGTTAATGCGACATTTTTTCAAGGGAACGAAAACTCTAACGTGAGGAAGGCAACGTTGCGACAGTTCTTGATCGTGCATATCCGTATTATATCACAGTACAAAAATACTGTGGAAAATATAGCATAATAAATATTTTTAATAAAAAAGAAAAGAAAGTTCCTTTCTCACGTTTATCATTATTTCTTTTTTTTTTTGTAATTTTTTTCCTTTTTTTATCAGATAGCTTTTTAGCGATAAAGTACAGTTTTCTGAGAGTGATTTTTAATTGATTCGCGCGTCGTTAATAATACAGCATTATTAATCTCAACGACACATCCCCTTCATTAAAATTATCATATTAATAATATATATATATATATACACACAGTCAGACTCCTCCTGCGTTATTGGGCCATTATCTACATAGAAGCCCTATTATTATTAGTCGCTAATAATCGATTATAACGATAAGAAACGGTATCGCAATGAGAGCGTAATACGATAAATTATCGAGATTTTTAATTAAATTTAAAACTTTTTTATTTTTCTTCGCTACGATAAGTTGCGTATGTTCGCGTTCCCAATCACTTTTGTCCCCGGCTTACAGCAATTTCTTCGTCTACATAACTTTTTCTTCGCACACGCACGATTGATTACAATTAAAACAATACAGATCTACGTACAAACGCAACTAGTCGCTGTTGTACATGTGCGTAAGTGTATACACACATTTACGTAAATGTATGTTTGTGTGTATACACACATGTATATATATATTTATATATAAGCATGTATAATATATATTATTTATTTATATGCGTACAGTAGGCAATAATACGTAAAATATAGATAAATATAAATCGAAATTTCAATTCGTTAGAAGGAGAATCTCTTCGTCGAATAGAAAAGGGGAAAATGTCGTACGCGTTTCACAGTTTTTCCATCATATTTCTTTCTTTTTTTGTTTTTTTTCTTATTTTTGAATTTCAATTCCATCATACATTTCTGATTTTCATGAAATTCGTTGTAGACAATGGCTACGTTCGGACTGACAAAAGACCTGTTCTAGCGAAGTCTTCTCATCCCCTTTCTTTCTTTTCTTTTTTGTTAATTCGTCGGGCGTAATGGTTTCGATTAAAATTCGAAAATTCACAGAAAATTCCTCTTTCCTGACACTCGAAATAACATACGGATGAAGGACGTGATAAAAACAACCGTTTAATCCACCCAAGAATATTTTTTTTCTGTTCGTTACTCCGTTCACAAGAATAATTCTTTAATCATGTTATTTTGTTTTTCACCTACAAAGGATATCCGGGAGAATCGTCGATATCTTTACAAAGCATCGAAACTTTCTTTCGAAGACGCCCAATCTCAAAACTTTCTACTATATAGACCGAGATCCTCGAGTTACCTAAGTTTTTTTTCCTTTTTTCTTATATATGTATGAATGAAGAAAAGGAGAAGTATTTAATTACGTAGGTGTTAATCACATAAAAGAAAAAAGAAAATAGAAGAAACGTGAGAATTACGACGATACTCCGAGGCACCTTTTCGTCCTTATGAATAAATGTATATTATATATATATATCTATATATATAAATAAATAAATATATATATATTTATATATATATTTATATTTATATATAATGTAAAAAGCTGTTTGTTAAGATTATACTGAAATTTCAAAATGAACCATGACAAAAATCCTAACAATAAAAATATAACGATATTGATACAGCGTTCAACTGTTGGAAAAGGCGTTACACTGTCCCTCGAAATCTTTCTTCTGACAAGGAAATGTATAGAAATTATTTTTCCTGCTACATCGTATAGTACATAATGACAATAAATGTAATAAAATAATATTAATAGTAAAATAGAAGTGTAAAAATCCAAAAATTTTATAATCCCGAAGTGACGTGGAAACAAGGGGAACATAAGTTCGCAAGTATCAAGAATAGAAGAAAAAAAAACACCCAGTTGTAATTTTCGACTTTATACGAAGTTATTTTAGTACATAGCAAATCATGTTATTTATTTCTTCCTTTCCTTCCTTTTAATTAATGTAATTGGTTTTTGTATTAAACGTGCTTGTTGGAGTCTTGCTTCGTTCTGAGATTATACGCTTATGAATTCGTGTAAAATTTGAAAAATAACTAGCTTATCAGTCATCGAGATGTGCACATTAATATATGCGAAGTTCATTATTTCTCTCTTAATATCTGCATCTTATAGTTTTTTTTTTCTTTTCTTTTTTTTGGGATATGCACATATTTATTTAGTTTAGATAAGTATACAGCATCACTTTTGTATGAAGTATATCACGTGTAAAGGATTCTTTTGATTAACCACGCATTCCACAAAAGGCTGAACTTTTTCCCTTTCAGGCATTTCGCGTTAAGGCAATTAGTACACTTTTCATTTTCTTTCTTTACATCGTTGCTTCACTACTTTATATATCTTGTTTCCAATTCACACATCACAGTGGAATACGAGAAATTATTAGAAGTGTTCGAAAAATAGGTGCATAAAGCAAATAGTGCATTTAAAAGAAGATATTAAATTACTATCGACACTGAAAGATCCAGGAAAATAAAAAAGAACGAAATGTATGATTTTTTCAACACCTTTGGTTATTTTGTAATGTTATAAGTAATCCGATTTCGACCGAGAATACCAGAACACGCGAGAACATAAGTCAAAAAAAAATGAAATCACGCGCTACATATTTTGTATAACTTTTTACAAGTTTATATGTATATATGTATATGTATAATTTTACTTCATTTTCATCCACATCTTGCAGATACACCCACAAATCAATTAACATAGGATCTGAATGTAATACAAGGGGAAATTAATTACAATATGCAATATACATAAAGTGATTAACAAGGGTCTAGGCAAAAATCAAAGAAAATTGAGTAGGAGTTAAAGACAATTGAAAAATAATTATTGCTCGTTTCTACGAGCACCTTCAAATTCTACTCTCAGTAGAACCTTCACAAGTTTCGAATGCATTTGCGTGCGCCATACGCACGTACTTGTTTCCGACGCTTTCTGCATAAAATAAACATTAATTATATCGTAAGCTTCAATTCAACTAATTTCAAAGAAATGGAACACAGAAATTCCCAGTTTTACTTTGACATATCGCGTATAATTTTTACATATATCAAATCAGTAAAGCCTCTGTTATTGAGAAAAAAAACGAACACACATACAAATATTATTTCATTTCACATTGTAAAATGGAGCGATTATAAATTCATAAATGAATGATTAAAAAAAAAGAAAAGGGACCACGTGATATTTTTAAAACGTAGTACTAGCGCAATATACGCAAAAATTCAAAACAACAACGAAAATAAACTTTTCAACAAATATTTTAAATAAATACGATTAATTTTGAAAGAGAAAATGATTCAGATTTCTGTTTGTTTGGCATGTAAAACCCAACTTAATCCCTCCATTTTAAAGTACTGATTCCTGAGTAATATATAACATTAAGGGATGGCCCGCCAACTTAATATTTAGAATCACTGATTCTGGATTATCTTTCTGAAATGATTCAAACCTCGTATGACTATTTAAAACTTATGTTCATCTAACAAAACGTTAATGCACATGCGCTTTGATGATTTCATAAAGCATGTAGATTAAAAATCGTTAGTTGCTCGCTTTAAAATATTTGTCCGATGATTAAGATTTTTCAAATACAAACGGACCAACCCAAGCAGATTTATAAACTTTTCCCCATAAAACATATTTGTAATTCAATGATACACATGACATTAAACTAATTTTAAAAAATATATATATCAAACATACGATGACCAAAAAAATTTAACCAGTTTAAATTAAGCACAACTAAACTGGTGCGTATGACGGGCAGTGCGTCTTGTGAATTGTTAGAGTTTCTACATTTCCAAGATTTTATGTGTTAAATAAAACTGAGTATTTTATCAATCTAACTCTGTTCTAACAAACCCATACAGCCACCAAACATGAAACGCTAAAAGATATAATTATATTGTTATTATTTTTACCTGCCCGTCTCTATCCTCGATCAAGTTATTGTAAATGGATATAATAATATCGATGTAGAACGTGGCAAGACTCGCTGAGGAGTGTGTACGAGGAGTGTATATGACTGCAAGAAGTGAGTTATTTACATTATTTGCATGTGTCGGCGAATCAGCCCTTGCCCTTGTTCCATGTCACGTAACGACAAAAGATGGCGACATTAGAGTTTTGAAAAGTGATAAGATAGGGAGGGTGAGGAGGAGGGCATTTGAATAATTATTAATATATAATATTATAATAATAACAATAATGATGAGGTGTTCTAAACAGTGCTAGGACTAGTGCTAGAGGGTCCTGTGAGGAATCAGGGTGGGTGGGTACGGGGTAAGGAAGGGTTAGTGTGGGGGCGGAGGTTCCGTAGATTGGTTTCTGCCATCTACAGCCCTAACTGGCTTCCTACGTGAAGGACCTGTTACGCCAACTGGACCGACCCCACCTCTAAGGTACGCTGGTGCTGGGGTTACTATCGGTTCTCTGATAGTTCTACTATATGGTAGCGACAGTGATTCCTGCAATACCTGTATAACGAAGTTACAAATACTAAATTATTTTTGTCACGATTCTTTAACATAAAGTTTAAATTTTCGAAATTGCGAACTTAAATCTTCATATACACTTACCAATGACTCAGGCAATACACTGTGCATCAGTGTTTGAACCATAGGTGAATTTTGTATCGCGAGGTTATTAGAATTTGGTGGCAATCCTTGATTCTGAAGACCAGTCCCCACACTGCCAGCAGTAGTAGTTTGAACAGTATGTGACTGTTGCATAGACGTTTGCGTTACATGTTTACTCATTGTTTGTTCCCTTTTCGCTTCTTGAGTTATATTTAATTTCTTTGTAGAAACTGAGGAAGAGTTAGCATTTGGTGTATCGGGACTGCTTGTAGCAGTAGTTGCACTTGATACTGGTGTTTGCGCTACAGATTGTTCCTGTGTTAACTCCGGCAATGTTTGAGAAAGTGTTCCAAGAATAAGTTCGCACGTAAAGAGACTTCTATTTGCACTTTCACGTTCAATATTTTGCAACTGTGAGTCGGAGAGAGAACTGGTAATACATCTATAAACGGAGAAGAGCACACATGTAATATTAATTAAAATAAATATAGCAATTAAGAACATCTATGTATAAACACAAGGTTACTGGTCCTTTGGGAACTAAAAAAAGGCATATGTCCGTTTCATGGAATCATCTTAAAATATAACTTTTGGCATCCTATGCACTGATCATGACATGCAGTTTTGCATGTTTCAGACAAAAGACTGCATGCATGCACGTGTGTGTCGAAAATATATTTATAAAAATACTCAAATACTAGCGCATAAAAATTAGTATTTTGACCATATTTTAGATACTTTTAGATGTGTATATTCCAATATTTACACATAACACATACTTTGGCAATAAAAACATATAGTTCTGTGAACTAGTAGATGATACGCCGGACGGGTTCGCCACATTAGTTGTATTATTGTTACTAGTCGTACTATTTACTACCACGCTAGTCATAGTAGTAGAATGACCACTTCCACTAATAATTCCTCCACAACTTGCAGAGCCAAGGACCTGAGTCTGCCTCCTAGGTAATCGCTCCAATTGTTGTCTAGCAGCCTGAAAAGATGTTTCTATTGTATCATGTATTTTTAATTCAATAACTTTTATATTCGTATTTTAGGAATTCAGCACTTGATTAATTTATTTTTATTATAACTTAATCCTCTTACTAAAATCTTTTTTGTTATTAAATCATACATACTCTAACTTGTTGTCGTTCCAACTGTAGCTGCATTTGCAATTGTTGTAATTGCGATGGTGCTGACGAACTTTGACCAGTTCCTCCACCACTTCTACGAACACCGGATAATTGAGAAAGTAATTCTGTAATTGGATCTATACCTTCTCGACTACTCGGACTCAATCCTCCGGACGAACTGAAATGCATATTGGACCTGAAGGTCCAATGACACGCCAATGAACATTATCTAAGATGAAATGATGATAAACTGAAGCTGAAATCCGGTTTAGTGTTCTTTTTAGGCATTTCAAAAAGAGAACGCATCTTTTATCTTACAATATACTATCATGATTATTGAACTATGTTTCACTAAAAAGATGATGGTAATGACTGATAAATTATAATGTTAATGTTATAGAACAAGCAAAAAATGATACTTAACAAAATACATGCAGTCAAACATCACAGAATTTGTACACTACTGTAATTCATAATCAGTGTCGATAGAATTTTTTTAAAATAGATTAATAAACTAGCACTCAAACACATTTGATATTTACTTTTAGTGGGAGATAATTGTTTCCACATTTTCTTGAATATAATACTTAAAATATTTATAGCAAATATTATAACACCTTCTCATAATCATTTAATATAGCGCGTATATCAAATATACATACCTGCGAGGCCGTGGTCCACCAACAACTCTAGATGAATGTGTTATCCGTCTACCAGTATATCTACTTGAAGCTGGTTCGTCTAGAAAAGAGATCAAATCTCTTGGTCCACTACGATGCTCCAAACTTAAATGACCACCAAAATCATCAGTCACATTATTAGGATCTCCCCCTGGGACAGATGCACATACTGGGCAAACCTATAATAAAATTGGAAACCTAGAAATCTCTCTCTAATAAAAAAGGTAATGTATGATAAACACTTATATATATTATACTATACATACAACTTCAAAAGAAGTGTCTGAGTGATCTGCAGCAACATGTTCTTGCAGTGTAGCCTCAGTGAAACCCATTCTTGTACAGTAAGGACAAGTTAAAGATTGCGGCTGTTCTACACTTACTGCCTCTCCACCATAATATAATTCTACAAGATAATAAATCAAAATTAGTTTGTATGATTAGGCTATACTTAAAAGACAATTATTATATACATAGAATTTAATAATTAACTTACCAAACTCAGATCTAGTAAGTATACACTGCATAGGATGATCACTGTGGTGACGCGTAGTACTGGCACCTCCTTCGTAACAGTTGGCACACAAATCATAATCGTAGCATATGAGGCACTTATATCTGCGACCCCGAAAGTTCCCCTTTAAGCAGGCGTCACAACTTACCCCTAAAATAAATAATTACTATATATTTGTACATATAGGGATTAGCATTTTATAGTAATAAAATCAAATTAAATTTACTATTAGTATTAGATACATAGGATATAAGTAAAGGATATTACATGTATGTAAGTAAAGTACATTTACATAAAGAACTTTAATAAAAAGTACTATTGTCTCTACAAAAGATATTTATATATCTTTCATATCTACATATACATACAATAACCTTGAACTAGATCTATTACAGATACATTATTTAAGTCTGTTTCAAATGTATATAGTTTTTGACATAAAAAGTTCAGCTGTATATTCTTATTAAAACAAACAACTACAATTTAATAATTTATTGAATACAACAATAAAGTAACTTCAGCATAACTGTAAATAAGTAAAATAACAAAATAACATTGAGACAATGTACATTATATAGAGACACTACACATGTAATTTTCTTATAATTAAATGCATTTAAAAATTTAGTTTCTTGTTTAATAAAACAATCTTTATAACTATAATAACAGATACACGATGAGTTTTTAATTTCATGTGTTTTCCCAGTTACCTCTTAATTTTTACAAGTTATATATATATATACATATACATATCTTAAAAAGTACAATAATCTAAGTATGATGTCACTTTTATTGTAATAGTATCATAAAAGTTAAGACCTACATATATGTGTATTAATAGTCAGCAATAACATTTTTGAACTTCAATACAATATTTCTAATTTCAATTATGTAACATGCGTAGATGTTAAATAAATAAGAAAGAATATATGTACTAACTTTATTTATGCAAACAATAACTACTCTTTACTCTGCTAATTTCATTATGACACATTAACTTAAAAATCCAATATAATTGCATTTCTGTGATGTTAAAATTATACCATTAGAATGTAATAAACAACGTATTATTTAGAAAATACAAACTTGAAAGTTGAAAAAAGTGAGGAAAAAGACTAATTCAAAGATATCAGATAAGAAAAATATGTTTCAATATGTTTTAGGGATTTAACATTGTAAGAAAGAGAAAGGGATTGTACAAGAAAAGCAATATCAAAGAAACCATTTGGCAGAGCTCATCTTGACAATGGGTCGTTAAATTTCCCCGTGAATTTTATTCATTTTATATAATTAAAATAAGAAAAAATGATGACATGGCAAAAAAGTTGAGCACAATCATCAAAGAGCATTATAAACCCAAAGAAATTGGAGTAAATTTTTTATAAGTGCTGCCATCTGGCCTCTGACATTAGACCCTTTGGTACAGAGCTTACAAGAAATGTCTTAGGAAAAATCTCATACATTCTCGATTTCGTAACCTCGACGATGAGTCTACACAAACTTTTTATGCATATCCCCGAATACCCCATGATTAAAAAATTTTGTCATCAATATAAAACAAATTTAGCATGTGAAGTAAAGGCTGACTTGCTAGACAGAAACAGCGCACACGTACGTACCGTCATGTCGATTCATTTTCCGTTTAAAATCTCATATACGCCGATAGCGCGAAGTCTCGCGATCGAACGGTTTACGAAATACGATTGCTGCTCGCCACTGCGTTAACTCTTCACGTCCCTCAATGCAGCAGATACAATGAGGAAAACATTAATCGTCAAACAAAAAATTTTTCGTTAGAATTTCCAGCGTAAAACCTAACCCAACTAGGCTACCGTGACGTCACACTAGACCTACGCTCCCGGAGAACGTTGCGGGCAGGGTCTCCGTCATTGCGGCATTGCCACATTTCCAATAAACATGCGTGGGAAATTCAAATATGACAAACCTGATTACTTCATTTTGTACAAACTAAATCGATTTCATTTAATTATACGCGCAAAAAACATTCTGGAAAACATGACACAGTATTAACAAGGTATATATACAATAAAAAAGTTGATTAAACATTTCAAGGTTCTTTCATTAGCAATAGAATATTATTGATGTCAGGTAGATCATATATAAATGATCTATATGATGCTATATTGAATTATTAGTTGTTTTAATTCATTAAATACTAATCATTATGTAGAAATTAAAGATTTATACGCATATTCTATTTAAAGTCACTCGAAATACTTCCATCGAAACAATATCAACTACTCAGTTGACAATCTGTCTTTATACTTTGTGCCGAAAATCTGGCAATCTAGCACTCCTTTTACGAACTTTTCCGAAAGATTTTCGTATGACTTCGTACTCTTCCGTATATAATCGCGACTCCCGAAACATATTTCACGAAGAAGTTGTTTCTTTTATTGAACAATGGAGGCAATAATCGGACGGGTTTTTATATATGGTGGCAAAGGTGCTTTAGGTTCTACTTGCGTTTCAAAATTCAAGTCGAAAAAGTGGGTGAGTAATAATAGTAACAATAAATGTCAACAATATATAATAAAAATGTAGATGTTGATTTTGTTATCAATAGGACTGACTTATTTTCCCACAGAAGTTACAATTTTTTATTGTTATTTCCAAGAGTAATACATTTGTAAATGTTATTAATTAATTTCATTAAAAAAAAAACAAATTATCGGTCAATTATACATCGATAACATATTCGATCTGGACATTGATTAAAAATTAATTCTAAACAACTGTTAGGCAGAAATTTCTGAAGGATGAAATCATTTATATTTAAAAATAATTAATTAAAAAAGTAATACTCGAGAATTATTTCATGTACGTCCTTCTAGAAATTTAATACAAAATTTATATAATGTTTTTTTTATACATAATGAATTTCATAGAATTCGTGACCGGTACATATTCAAACGGCGAAGTAATTATTCGCGCACTGTTTTGAATGCTACGAAGTATAGTATTTTATTTATGTATCTATAATAATTATTGTCTATGTGTATATATGCGTATAAATATATTTTTTATAGCCCTTATTAATATATAAATATATTTTTTAATGTAATTAAATATTAATCATTTACTAATTTTAGTTTAAGTTTAGTTACAGTTTTAGTTTTAATATTCTATAAACTAAAACAACCAAATTCCTTCTACAAGGCCGTTAGGTCGAAAAATAAAATAAAATAAATAACATGAATCATTTACATTATTAAATGCAAACATATAAAATAAATTTTATGTAAATTTAATAAGGCACTTTCCCTATAAAGATATGATTTCAACAAAAAGGATATAGATTTACAGATATAATTCTATTTAGCAATCTCAAGTATAGAGGAAAAATACATCAAGGCCATAGTTAATGAATCAGAACCTTTCACATAATACATATACCTCTATAATATCTTTGTTAAATAACCTTAAGAAATTTGCAATTATATCAATTTTATGATACTAAAATATTTATTATTCTACACATTACATATATAGCTTATAGGGAAATTACTAAACAAATTATTATATTAAAAAAAATAATATATTTTTATAAAACTACATTAACTTCATAATCATAGTGGGTTGGCTGTATTGATATGAAGGCAAATGACCAAGCTGATGCAAATGTGATTGTAAAACCAAACAGCAATTGGCAAGAGCAGGTAATTTTTTAAGTTGTTATATTCAACTAAATAAGAATATATATATATATGTTTTATAAACAAATATATACATATGTTTATATATATATATATTATATATATAATATTAAATATATATTATAATAATATATATATATCTTTTTATAAAACTAATCATTTTTATCTGTTTATTAGGAAGTTGATATTATGCAACAAATTGGAAATATTTTAAATGGGAATAAACTAGATGCAATTATTTGTGTGGCTGGTGGATGGGCTGGTGGAAATGCAGCCAATAAAGATTTTATTAAAAACAGTGAACTTATGTGGAAGCAGAGTGTGTACAGTTCAAGTATTGCTGCTAGTATTGCTGCCCATCATTTGAAAGAAGGAGGATTTTTATCATTAACTGGTGCTAAAGCAGCTTTAGCAGAAACACCGGGAATGATTGGATATGGAATGGCTAAAGCTGCTGTTCATCAACTTACTAAATCTTTAGCAGCTAAAGATAGCGGTCTTCCAAAGAATTCTTTGGTTGTTTCTATCTTGCCTGTTACTTTAGATACACCTATGAATAGAAAATGGATGCCAAATGCTGATACAACTAAATGGACTCCACTTGAATTTGTTGCAGAGTAAATAAAATCTTTCTTTTTTCCTTATTTCATGTTTTTATATTTGATTTCTTACTAATAACATTTTATTTTATAGCCTCTTCTGGAAATGGTCACAAAATCAAGAACGTCCAGCTAATGGAAGTCTCCTACAATTGATTACCAATGATAATAAAACAGAATTAATTACAGCTTAAGAGGAAAAGAGTTTTTTGAATCGAAAGCATTTATGGTGCTCCCATGACAATATATACACATATGTATACCCATTATAAATACTTTATATCAAATGGTGTCCCCAATCAATTAATGTTGTTCCATCTTAATGCATTTGAAAAAGGAATATGAAGATATATTTGTATATATGTAAAAATATTTTTCTCTGTACCTTTAAATGCAAGAGCTATAAGTTCATATAGCAACATAAATTCATTCCATTTAAATAATACTACAACAATAAAATTATATAATTAAGTGAAATTATTTGCAAATATATTGTAACATATTTTATAACGTTTCCAATATTTATTTTTATATAAATGTTATATATTTTATATTCTGAAATATTATAATTGTGTTATCCTTTAGCAGTTTATCTCTTAAACTAAAAGTAAATATGAAAGTATAAACAAAAGTACTGTTTGTTAATAATCTCTGATATTACAAATTGGAAAAAATAAAATACAATATACAGCATAATTTTAGTTTTTATTAGAATGTTGTGTGTACTATGCGTAATAGAACTTCTAGTGTTCAAGATTGTGACATATATGCCCAATAAATTATATACGCAAAAAGTTAAAACAATGATTTTATAAAAGTGTTTATTAAGCTGTATTAAGTGTTATCGACTTCATTTAAATATAATTGACATTTATATAATTTAATATTCTTTATAACAGTAACTATATATTTTGAAAAATGTTACTTCAGTCGCCCGGATAGCTCAGTCGGTAGAGCATCAGACTTTTAATCTGAGGGTCCAGGGTTCGAGTCCCTGTTCGGGCGAATATTTTTTTCTACTTAGGAACAATTCGATATCTAATTTTGCATGTACTAATGAATATTGGAAAATTCTCAATATGCCATGGAAGATATAATAAAACTTCTTTTATCCGTCATGGTCAGAGGACAAGACGTATCAGATATTAGCACTCTACTACTTCTTCCTTCTTCCGTTCTTAATCATTCATATAGTCGGAATTAATTTTTATGTAACTGGATTTTACTAAACTGAAATTTGTAAATACTAGGGCAAAAACTTTTATTCCTATAAGCCATGCGTCATGTGGCCTAGAATTGAATTATAAGAGTTTAGAAACATATTCAGTATTAAAATCGTAAATTGGACATTGTGATGACATCAGTTCGGATAAACGGAGTTCAGGTAAATGGGATCCTACTGGATAAAATCACCATTTAGTATATTATGAATCATTTTATTTAATATATACAATAAGAAGTTTATATCTATTGTAAACCTGAACAGAAATTGACATAATGGACATTTTTTAAAGGGTAATTTAATATTAACTTAACAGATATTTATGTATACTACTATAAGTGATATTTTTTATTTTGGTGATGGTGTGAACAACTCATTCAGCATTTGTAATTCAGCTGAAACAGAAAAATGGAAATTACAAGTCAATATTATATCATTAAAAGAACCTACAGCTTGCCCATAGCCAAATTTATCATTTTTTACCTTCAACAAGCTTCTTTTTCTCTGCTGCTAATTTTGCATCTTTCATGGGTTTTTCCTTAAGTTCTTGTTCACGGCGGGCATTTTCTTTTTTACTCAGTCTTCTTTGATGGTAAGCACCGTAGACTATCCCAGTTAACAGAAGAGTCCATCGGGAAAACTACACAAAATCCAATATTAAAGTTTTACAAAGTATTTTTAAATTTATGTTTAAATGCATGTATATAAATATATATATTATTAATGCTTTAAAAAGAGAAAGAGATATCTAATTTATATTATTATTTAATTCATGCAAAATATATTACTTGACTAATGCTTATTATATCTATTAAGAAGGTTAGAAAATAAAATACAAATTAAGAGCTAATATATTTTTAAATTTCATTCTAATGTAGAATAAATGATATATATAACTGTTCTATATTTCTTTAAAACTTAAAAAAAAAAAGAAAGCATTACTTGAAGTTACACAAAAATTATATAATATAATCAATTTTAAAACATTTGTTCCGAAGCATATTCATTTTTATAACAATAAGAAATCTTAATAAGGCATTTGTTAAATAAACAGTAATTTGCAATACAATAGTTGAATGTAGATTGTTTCAAAAAAATTCATTGTAGCAAATTGTACTCACTTTAATTAAAGGGGACACCTGCAGTGGTCGGGGTGCTACTTCGGCAGACGACATTTTGTCACTGGATTGCTAATGCTATGAAACTCCAGATAACATCACTATTTGAGCGGACGTTTAAAACATTCCTGTATATTTTTGAATATGAACATGAGAGTTACCATTATTCTGAAGAATAATATAATATTACAAATATAATATAGATTTGAAAAAGCTTTGTTATGATACTCTCTACATATTTTTTAATCTTTCACATGCTTTGGAGTAGAAATTAAAGGATACAAATGTAGCAATTTGATGAAGATTAAATTAGAATATTCTTATCATCACGAATTTGATCATAATGAAGTTTAGCCTTATATCAATCATTACATTATATTATACTTTATATATTTATTAATAGTTTTAAATTTTATTTTATTTTGCTATGTACTATAATTTGCTATTTCATCGTTTTTAATTTTATATGTATTATAATTTCTCACGTTCTCTGTTTTTCTTCGTTTCTTTTTAAACAATTCACAGGAATAATTGAGGGAATCTTTATAGCAGCAAATAACCAAAATAATTCATGGAACAAAAAAATGACAATTTATGTTTGAATTAATAAATTAGCATTGAAAAGAACGCGCTCTAATGTTTCTTATCGTTATAAAGATCTATAGAAACATGATAGAAACTAAAAATTTTAATCTAAATTCATCTCGTATTTGATTGGTTGAAATATCTTTTTCACTCGTCTTCTATTGGCCGATCATTTCGCCTTCTTGTGGACGATAAGAAATGTGACTGTGTGACTGCAATTTCATCGAAACGCATCTGCCGATAGCTTCTTGACTAGTGTCGATAACGCAGATCGTTACACTTTAATATGTTTCTCTCTATAGTATTTGTATATATAGGTTTCAAGCACGGTGGTTTTAAACTGTTTGTGGAAGGGATCGTTTAACCGTTTCGCCTTCTCGGATATTCCTTGGCAGTAAGCAAAATGGCGCCGCTATGGATGGTGATGTCGTTAGCGGTTTCTTTACTTTTAACACCTTTTCTTATGTTTTTGCTTGCCATAATCTTTTTGGCATCTATCGGAAAGTCACTCGGCGTTAGAAGATTATATATAAAATTGCTGCTAACACTATTTGAGGTAAGCGAATGAGTGAATTCAATTTACAATACTTCTTCGGTTAGAGACACATCATGATCCTATAAATTGAAAACATGATAAACATTTTATGATTTTTTTTCTCCTTTTTTTTATAGAAAAGGTACGAAAGATTACATGATCTTTTGATATCAAATTCACAATGAAATTTCTAGAACGAAATACATATTAAACGTAACAAAATTGTTTTGTAAATATGAAAAATTGCAATTAACTTTGAGGTAGACATTTTGAATTTTATTCATTCATAAATACCCGATTTAGTTTGATTGTTAAAATTTGCACTAATTTACAGATAAAATACTTAAAGGTTTATGTATCGTTTCAAAGTGATGGTCAATGAAATATGTGACTACTATTAAACCAAGTGTGTTTCATGCATTGTTTATCTAACAATCAACAAGTAGCAGCAATTCAATATTTAATTTCATTTTTTAGTTTTTCCCTAATTTATTTTCGATACAATGAAAACTCCGATTTCATAAGATATATAAAATTTGGTAGTTAGAATTGTATTCCGAGCTACCACGTTTTTTTGACAGTTAAAGTAAACGTAAGTTACGCAAGGTAATTATACTTAATTATAAAAACTATGGTATCAAGTTTATTCGATCGATCATAAATTTCTAAAATTTAATTCCATAATCGATAAAAAACGCAAATAAAATATCTTAATAAAATATGCAAAACTCTAATTAAATATATTGTTACTAGATAAATATTCTTTATCATATATATAATATATTTTCAAATCGTGTATTTTAATTTCTAATTTTTATCTTTAGTAAATAAAATATGTTTTTATTTCGGTTTGTATAAATTATTAGTCAAGCTCCCAAATTATCGACTGGTAGAACATCAGTGCATTTCAAAGAATATTTTATTTCTGAATCACTTTTAAATTTACATGTTAACATGATTCTTTTATTCATATTTTATATAAATTATATATATTATATTGATTAATTATATTATATATAATTTAATATACATATTAGATATATTATATATAATTATAATATTTACATTTAATATATATATATTATTAAGGTATTCAATTAAAATTAATCGAAGCGTGCTTTGGCGAATCTCTTACGATATCGTGCGTAACGAATTTGTATCGATTTAAAACCGTCAAATAGCGAAATCCTAATGTTGAAACAATTTGTGCGACTGAAGAATAAAATCCAGCATTTCCAAGTTTGCTTTTTAGTATACTTGTGCATATTAGATTTTTGAAAGGAGGGATTTTGCGACGTACGTTCAAATATTTGTCTCGCTAGTCAGAAATACGTGATCGTTATTCTGGTAGCTTTGAAGTTAAAAAAGTCGACTTTCTCAATTTTTCTTCGATGCCATTTGAATATTAATCGTGTTGAATACGATTCAACGTACAATTCAACGTATTCGAGTATTTATTATTTCTACGTACTTTATTTGAACAAATACAATGTGTGAAATTGAAATTTGTGTGCTATCAAAAAATGTAAACTAGTAAAACCATAATTATATTTTCTCACTTTAATCGCATTTTTCTCAGTGTCCTGAAGGTCTAGTTTAGACAAGTTCTGTGACCGGATTTGAATACAGTGTTAAAATCTACAGGGAATAATACATAACAAGTTCAGGGAAATATTCAATCATACATAGATAGTAATGGATAAATTCCAATTGTTTTTATAAAATGTCAACTTGAACGTAAGTTTTCAAGGTCAAAACTTGTTAACGATGTTTTCTCTATATTTGTCTCTTATTCTATTTTCTCGTTCTCTTATTTACTCTTAGCTTTAATCTGAAACAAAACTCATCACTCTACCTCATTCGAATAGGAATTTCCACGATCTTGACACAAAAATGAGCATTTTGTTCCACTGCGCGCTAGATATCAAACTATTCTATTTGCAGTTAATAGTCTGTTCGAGGAGATATGTTCAATATAACACGAAACTCGTACTTACATGTGTTGGGAATAAAATAATCAATCGAAGTGAAGATCATATGGATATGCCGATTGATAACGTAGATTATCTATATTCTGTATGTCAATATCTTATTTAATTGGAAACGATGTATTGTGCAAAAGTCTTAATGATTTATGATTTTATAAGGAAAATCATATTTTTTAGAAAATATTTCCATACAGTGTTATATAGAAATGTATTTTTATATTTTATTATGTTATTTATTTATATTATATAGTTTATTTCGTTAGTAAGGCAAAGATTTTTGCATAAACATGTGTAATTATTCTTCATTGAAATTTTCCTTCTTTAGAAAACTAATCATCCTAGCTTATCGGAGGCCGTTCACCGTACGCATGTCACGATAATACGTGGATCTCCTTTGTTTGGAGAACAGACAAATCGGTGGCTCTACAGTTTCGCATAACGAACACACCGAATGAATAACATGAAACGCTATTCAATTGTCGGTCACATCGTCTAGATTTTTTGACATGGCTCGAATAACGTTACCAAAATATTTTTAAAAGTGAATATTAAGCAATATCCCATACAAAAGTATTTGATAACAAGTTTGCTAATAAAAGTGATTAAACTTAAATAAAAATGTTGTGTTAAATGAAGTACATTACATTAGCAAACGAAAAACAAACATTCTTTATGTGTTATATAATCGTCAGATCAAGCTATAAATAATAAAATATAGAGGCATTTTACGAAACATCTCAATGGATAATCTTATGCATTCCCTACACTATTTGAATACTCGCAAAGATAAAAATTTATCGCAATACGTATACTATTTATAAAATGTGCGATGAATGCTTTCCAAGATGTTCTTTTAGTTTCTTTTACAATAATCTTACTGTGATTATATATGCTGGAATATGCATTATTATGCAGAATGAGAACGATGACGTTTCACCTTATTTCTTTATATATAGGTGTGATGTGTATGCATATTAATTTTCATTATTCACGATCTTTTCAATCTTGATCGCGAATTAATTAATGGAATAGATCCCAATATAACGATAACGATGATTATGTAATTACAGGCGATAGACTGAAGACGCGACGTTCTAATTGAAAGGTTGTGCAAGATGCGTACAAACTCGTCAACCTTTTCTTTGATCGCATATTTTTAACGATATGTTTCATATTTAATAATGATATGTTTGTAGTTCCTTGAATATGGTGCAGAAATTGAAGAATGACGCTCCATCGTTTTATCGGAAGAATTTCGTCTAAAGCTTAAAGACGCATGAAAAGAAGACGGCGTATGAAAATATTTGAATACTCGTAGATATCTGTCATGAATATGTTATGTATGGTACGAGCAACAGTTCAAAATCTCATTGGCATAGTAATGAGATTTGACTGTCATAGCTATATTGGAAAAGCTTGATACAAATTTAGAAAGGTATATAGAAATCGTAAAATATGGAATTATCTTTAACACTTAATATACGCTTAAGATAATATAAATGTTTTACTAAATATGTGTTTGCAATAAATAACTTATAATTTCTACATACATTTTTAGATTTGTTTCAGTTTTCCAATATGATCAGTCATGTTTCTTTACAGTGTTGATGAAAATTCAGAATGTTTTATATAACACATACAATACATATGTGTATATATACGTACATAAAAGTTTTATATCGTAGGTATATTTTATCGAGTAGTTTGCTATTATGGAAAAACTACGTTCAATAAAAATTGAATTATAATCAATTTGAAAAAAACATTACACGAACAAGATGAAACATCTACGATCTCGAGCCTATATGCGACGCATATTCCAGCGTAATTATAATAAAATTATCGTATAAAAAGACCAAGAGAACGTATTAAAAAGCGATTGTTCAAACATTTTGTATGTATGCTATGATAAAAGAGTATTTTATCTTCACGAATAATCAAATAACTTGATAAGTACATTACATTATTATGCGGAATGCTGTATAAAATACGCATAAAAATCTCTTTTCTATACTGTTTGAAATCATCGACATCAGGTACAAAGTTCAAGAAATTTGTCTTTTGTTGAAACATATTCCTTATCGATTCTTTTCTCATCTACGTTATCGAATATCGTAATCCTGCAATTAACCACATGAATTTCAAGAAAGCACGTGTTAGTGCAAGAAGCAAATACGATTTATCGAGATATCCATTTCTTTCGAAACTCTACATTTTACTATAGATATAGCACCAAAATTTCGTTTTCAGATATGATTAACGCGATAATATTGGTAGAAAGGTACCTTTATCAGAGATATTACAAGTTTAGCTCAATGGAAGATGTATCTTGTCCTTGATGAACTTTCCATTTACGATATATGCCTATCTTTTACCAAAAGAAGAAAGATGGATTAGTTAAGTACAAAGTGTACAGATATCGTCAGACGACAGTGCTTTTTTTTATATAAAAAAAACTATTACTCGTGTGGAAGTAATTAGTAATGTTATCTAATAAATAATTCGGATGACTTGAAACAAACGATAAATGCATTCGCCGTATCTTAAAAGTTCCCTTTTTATGCAAATACAAATAAATTCTTTTCTCGTTGATATTTGAATAAATTTCTTACCACACTTGTTTATTTGCGTCTATGCCGACAAAGATATACGAAGTGTGTAATTAATAATTATGTTACATATTTAATGAAACCTGTCGTTTTCGTTCGAACTTGTGAATGATCAGTAGCTGTATTGAATTAGTTTCATTGAACTTAATGTTTATGATTTATTATAAATTTGATTGATAAGCTTGGTAAGTTTAATCTTCAAAAAATTGATGAAATTATTCGGTTTTATCAACTAAAAGGACATTAGCCTGCCTGTTTACATAATTTTTTTACATGATACATATATATGTTATATTATATAGCTATATTATATAGCATAGTAGTATAATCATATAGTATATCTCAAACACTTTGTATATAGATTGGGCACTAAATATTTTAATTACGTCTCCACGCTATAATATGAATTTTTTAGAAAAAATTCTGTCCGAAAATTTCTGTTAGAAAAAAATATTTAATTCCAAACTACGAACATTTTTTTATATTTTATAACTTATTGTAACAATCTTTTCCAATCGTAAAACAATTTTAAAAAAGGAACAAGCATAACAAAGTATTCAATTTTACATAAATATCATAAATAAAGAAAAGAAGCATTGTTTACCTTTATTCTTATCACCGATAACTATTAAAGGATCAAGACCGGAGTAAAATTATTGTTATTAAAAATATCCGTATTTTAGCCTATAGTACCTAGCATTTTAAGTACTTGTTTCTTGCAAATTATAATCAGATTGACTAATCTGATTGTCTTTCTTGTGTTGTATAAAGACCACTTTACAACAAAGTGCTTCATAATAAGAAACGCATTCCTTAGAGATGTTTAAACTTAAATAATTATAGCGTATGTATTGTTTTTATACTTCAGTATGGCAGACAAAACATAGAAAACGTGAAAAAGAAGAATGGTACTTGGAAGCAAAATGACGAAGACACAGATGAGGAGTACGAATCGAGGCACGTCGAAAAGCAGAATGTGCAAAATTGGAAAACGGAGAGTATGCAGAATGGAGTGAGCAGCACCGTTATAGCCAGATCGACGGATTTGATTTTGGTACCCGAGCCAGAAATGCAGAATCATAAAAATCATTTGGAGGAAACGAAAACGGAGAATTCACAGACGCCTGCAACAAGTGCGAGCAAAAGCGAGGTAATTTTAATTCTATGTGTTTAATATATATCAAGAAAATATATATACATATCTATGATTAATTGTACAATGGATTGAGGATATATTTTTGTTGCAGACACTCATACGTAGAGATTCATTTGAAACCCTGAAAAGGGAGTTCAAACCTGCAATCTGTTTGGATTACATTAAAGCTGGTGTAGAAGCTATTATAGAAGATGAGGTGACATCTCGTTTTGAAGCAGAAGAATTGAAGGTAATTTCTATTTCTCTAGACCTATAGATATATATGAATTGTTATATAGTATAATGATATATTTTTTCCAGAATTGGAATTTGTTAACTAGAACAAATAGACATTACGAGTTTATCTCCTGGAAGTTAACAGTGATATGGATATGTGGATTTGTTATGCGATATTGTTTCCTTCTTCCCTTGAGGATATTCATTTGTTTTGTAGGGGTAAGTTCATTGATTCTCTTTTAATAATAAATTAATAGTATTTAGAAAAGTTGAAACAAATTGGTAGGATGCATATACACTCGATTAATTTCTTATTTCCACATTTATTTTTATTTTAAGATTCTGTTATATGTTTGTCACGAATCTGTTTTGAAATTGTCTGTTTCAATACCAAATATAAATTTAGTATTTGCAACTCGACTAATATCAAAGGTTCCTAGGTACTGTACATTGTAATTGCAACATTTCTTATTGGCTTCCTACCAAATGGTTTTATTAAGAAATGGACATACAACAAGGCTAGTCTCATAGCATTCAGGATAATGTCACAATCTTTATCAGCGACAATTACAATTCATAATCCAGAGAACAAACCAAAACCAGGAGGAATGTGTGTGGCAAATCACACTTCCGCAATCGATGTGCCTATCTTATCCACACAGACAACATTCTCCTTGGTAATGAGGCATTACGAAGATATCAATTTTTGTTTTCAAAATTTGCTGTTGGGAATTTGTGATGATGTCTTGTTGTTTGTAACTAACTAATCTCTGCATAATATGACGATATCGTTAAAACAAATTCGGAAATTCTGATGTATTAATCCCCTATATTAATATGATTTATAACTGCCCACTGACAGAATTAAAGTACATTGTTAAATGTTACAGGTAAAACGGTATCCCGTAACTTTGCTTTGCAAGTAAAGCTAGTCAGCATTGATACTAAAAGAAAGATCCTTTCTTAGATATAAAGCTTGTGATTTACAGGTGATGTGGCTGACTGCATGTACAGCGGTAGTCGGCTATGTTCCAGAGGGTAGTTTCAAGCGATGGCTGAATTACAAAGTCTCCATAATGTGCTTCGGTGTGTTGTCGAGTGCTCTATCATCAGTAATTACGTATCATAATCCGGAGAATCGTCCTGTTAGGGGTATTTGTGTGGCAAATCATACTTCACCTATAGATGTTCTGATACTCATGTGCGATAATTGCTATTCCTTGGTACGTTTTTGTCGTTCTTCGTCTAATAAGCTAATAGTTCCAGCATTATTTATTTATCGATATGATAACTCATCCTTTATCAGCTTTTTTGGGTTTTTTTGAAATTTGCTTTATATTGATCTTATTCTGTTATTGTGATATTGTAGTTCTGGTATGTGTGCATGAAAATATATTACTCTAATATTATGCAAAAAGCGATTTAAAATATTCAATAGGAAATATTATTCTAGATAAAGTTTGCTTTAAACGAATTTTGCTTAAAATTTGCTTTATTTTAGTATCATGTGCAACGCGATTAATATTATTCCATAGAAAATATTATTTTAGGTGAAATTTGCTTTAAATGAATGTTGCTTGAAATTTGCTATATATTTATTTTTTTCTAGTTATTATTATTATTGTGATGTTATTTTTGTTTGCATTGCATAAAAATGTATTACTTTAATATTATGTGAAAGATGATTTATATTATTCAAATTTTATATTTTAGATAGGTCAGAGACATGGTGGATTTTTAGGTATTCTACAAAGAGCTTTAGCACGTGCTTCACCACATATTTGGTTTGAACGGTGTGAAGTTAAAGATAGAGAAGCAGTTACAAGACGGTAAATGTTAATCGCTGTGCTGTTAGCATAGCTTCTTTATAACATTAAAATGTTCTTACATACTTTATAGATTAAAAAAACACGTGTCTGATCCTACAAATCCACCGATACTTATCTTTCCTGAAGGCACTTGTATAAATAATACATCAGTTATGCAATTTAAGAAAGGAAGCTTCGAAGTTGGTGGAGTAATTTATCCTGTTGCAATAAAGGTAATTGTGTACGTATTCATGTAAAATGGTATTGATTACCTTAGGTAACCAATTTTATTCTTTTTCTTATAGTATGATCCAAGATTTGGGGACGCATTTTGGAATAGTAGTCGATATTCAATGATACAATACTTATATATGACTATGTCAAGTTGGGCCATAGTATGTGATGTTTGGTATCTTCCTCCGATGTATAGAAACGAGGGAGAGAGCGCTATTGATTTTGCGAATAGAGTAAAGTCTGTGATAGCAAGACAGGGTGGCTTGGTCGATTTACAATGGTAAAATTTTTTAGATAAAAAAAATATTATTCATCATTATATATAAAGAGAAACAATTAAGTTTTTTTAATTACATTTTTAGGGATGGTCAGCTTAAACGAATAAAGCCAAAAAAGGAATTGCGAGAGAAGCAACAAGAAGAACTTAGTAAACGACTTAAAGACGAATAAAGTCGAATATGAATCGTCTCTAGTCCCTCTTTCACGATCGATATAATGTGTGATATTTTGCTTAAACGAGAATATTTTACCTGATGTGCTGTTTTATCTTCTTCGTGGACATTTATCTGTGCTAAAAGGGGATGATAGAGCGTATGCATGATTTAATTTGTTTAATTTTACAAATGTGATACATTGCGTTATGTTAGATTACTTTTATACAATGAAAAATTGATAAATTTCTATAGTAACATTTAAATTCATTACAAGACGATTAGTATAAACAATTTATCTTAATATTATGATTGAATTTAAATATGAAATATCGCAGGTACCACATTTGTCAATTTTTAATACCAATATTATATAACGAGGCATTACAAATTTATTATTTATACATAATGAAGTGTTTAATATGGAATGGCCGATAGTGTGTGACTTTTTGTGCGTATGATTGAATGTAGCATCAAACTCATCCTATTTATATTGTTACATTTTTAGAAATGTACTTCACCTCATTATCTCATTAATTTGATACATGGTTATGGATATCTAAGCCCATCTGATATTATACAGGAGAAGTTACAAATTCTTTTCTTTCTTTTTTTTTTTTTTGTAAAAATGATAGGGAAAAATATTACTCTTTATTGTAGTGTAAAAAATAAAGTATTTATTCATATTTCTCATAGAAAGAAATTAGCATATATCAGGGTTATGCTACTGTACCCATCCCCTGAAAATTATTTGAAATGACATTCATTACAATTTAAGAGCATAATTGAAATATTTCCTATTTTTGTAAATAATATCATCAAAATTTTGAAGAAACGTTCGTAAATTACTATACAATTAAAAAAAAAAAAAAATACATGCTTATTGTATTTTTATGAAGAAAAGTTAGAATCTTCATCTACTGTTCTCAAAATATTGAGAATATTTTATTCATATTCTAATTGACGTTTGGATTTTAATTAGAAGTTATATTCTAATAACATTTTAATATTTTGTATATGTTTAATACAATAATAATTTAATGTCTTGTATTTAATATTTTTTAATTCAAATAGTAAAGATTAATTAAAATAATTGATAATTGTATGTCTCATAGAATGTATAGAATATATTTTTATGTTTAATATACAAAGTTTGCACGTGTTAATAAAAACGCAATTAATTGCTCTAAAAAACGAACTACATTCTTAGGTTGTTGTAGAAATTAAATATTGTAATAATAATAACATAACTTATTTAGAATGTAAAACTATTGGTCACACGTGCAAGGTAAAGGGGTCACTTAAATTGGATATGAGTTTATAGATTCATCTACTCAACAAGTTATGGCGCTATGTATAATATCACTATTCAATTTTTATACAAAAAATGTTAAGATATATTTTTATGTAGTAATGAATATATAAAGGGATATACATAAACAAAACAACAAAAGGAATATGTGGCTGTCACTGTAATTTTGACAGTAACATAAACATAGTCAACAACAGTATGAATGCTTTATTATAACTCTCCTCCTATCACATATCAAAAGTATTGTGTATATATATGTGTATGTATATATATGCTAGTCAATAATATACTTCCATCAAACGAATATAAAGCACAAATGAAATTGTTATGTCATCGTGCAATCTGAATTATATATAGAGAATGTATATTTGATAATTTAAATAAGTACGTTAGTTTCATGCAAAATATGATACCATATGCATGCAAAGTTTATATATACCAGTAAATAACACAAGTATATTTGTAAGCTATATATATTTATTTTACAATAGCCATAATCTTACAACGATTGATTGAACGATTTACATGATCATTTGACATATGTACATAAAGGTTTTTATTTAGATATTAAACAAATATGTTTATTAGATTTCTTATACTATCACATAAATATGAACAAACCAAATGTCATTTTAAAAAGTTATGGCAATATTGATTTAATGTCCAGTATATTTGATTAAAAATTTGTAATGACTAAATATGGCTGAAACTATCATTTAATTAACACTTTTTTGAACTGGAATTTCTTCGCTAAGCTTTTCAGCTTCTTGCTGTTCTTCAAATAATTTAATTAATTTTTCTGTTGCTGTTGGTCTCAATTTAATAGCTTCACCAATCTTTTTCTAAAAATGAATAAAATATACATATATGTATAATAACAAAACATATAAATGGGAGAAGCTTTCATATTTACATCTGGAAATTTGACTTGATTCAAAGATGGATCTTTAAAAGTGAATGGTGTCCAAGGTCCTTGAATAGAAGGAAAATCTGTATGCCATAATTTAAGTAATCTGTAATCTGGGCCATTATGATATTGATTCTTCAATAATTCCATCCATTGTATAATATCCTGCCTACTATAATCAGCAACACATATCCAATGTGTTTCTCCATTCACTATAATTTACATAAATATTTTAATAGTATCTTTTACCATTTAAAGTTTTTCTTAATACAATAAGTAATAAATAAACTTACAATATTCTGCTTTTATAATTGGACTTCTGTGCCTTCTTGGTTTAACATATACTACGACTCCAGGATTGTGTTTTGCATAATCAATTAAATCATGTTCCAAAAAACTTCTGCATATGATAAAAATGTAATAAATATTTTTATGTAGGTACGTATCTATGTACATACAACCGGCATGGGATATTGCAGGTTATGTTCCAAAAAAAAGATATAAACAATGTGTATTAATGCAACAATTATGACTCAAAAGAGACAAATTCAGAATTTTCGCCTGCCATTGCCTCGATACATATGTAATATAAAAATTTAATTTGAACGAAGAAGTTGGAGAAGGAATTCTCTTACCTCATTCCACGACTACCACCGTGACTTTTACAAAATTTTATAGTTATTCTTTGTAACTGACACACATAACGTCCGACACCAATGCCAAAAGGTGCACGCAAAAATCCAAATTTTTGAAATAAATGTTTATTTGACATATTTGCAGATGAAAGTACTCTTCACCTTCACTGATTCCACACAGTATCGTGTTTTGATAAACATATACATACATACACATATACAGACATACTTACCTACAGGCTAATCTTTTAGGAAACAAATTGAGAAACTTCTAGTGTTATATATGTATATTAAAATAAGACTATTTTTCATTTTGTGTTTTAATATGTTTTTTCTACATTTATTCAAATTTCTCATAAATTTTTAAATGTTTCCGTCGAAAGCGAATTTAACCTACGCAACTTTAGTATCAAAGGAAAGATCATGATATTTAACTATTGTCGAACCATCGTGGTTCAATTACATTACATTTCACGGGTGGTAAAGGGACGGGTATCATGGAAGGCAATGACGTAGGTAAAAATTCTCCTGGCCAAAGATGAACGGCATCCATGAACAGAAATCCAATGAGGATTCCATGCATAAGAGGAGCTAATATTCTTAATAATCTACTTCTTGGCGGTTTTTGTGGCCACACAAAAATTAATCGAGATCCATCTATCACAAAAAGAAGAAAAAGTTTGAATTTTTATATAATTCGTGTATTTAGTTTTATATAACTTTGTGTACTAGTGGATTTAGAAAATAATAGATATGTGTGGTAGAATATGCATGGAGTTCAGAAGCTCTACTTGTGTTGCGACGGATAATAGATGATTTAACATGATGGGGACTGACGCCGGCAGGAGCACTAAATATTCCATTTCCGCTGCAAGTCTTTCTTTTTTTATAACTAAATCTGCGAGCACCACTTTGTCCATACAAGATACGATCTTCGAAATTGCGTTCGTAGTTGGCTCTAATAGAGCCTGTAATTGTACTTCCGGTGCTATCCTGAAGAGATGTGCTGGTTCCAGTCAACAAAGAATATTTATCGTCATCCGTGTCACGATTAGTCAAATCCTCCGTTCTTCTATTAAATAAAAATTCATTTGCAAGCTAACTATCAAATTTACCATAAATTGAATTTAATTTAATTTCTTAATTTTATTAACTCTTGATTAAGTCGAGAAGCAACATTGCTATCCACTTCGATTTGCTCCAGATTTCAAACAGCGCAATATATTTTATATCTTTTCCCCAATAAGTAAATTAAACAGATCTAATACATTTTGTACAATACGCAGGGACGTTACGTTAATGCATGTTGATTTTCGTTGCGCGTAAGATTGTCAAAAATGATTGAAGATATCAGAGAAAACATACGTCCTTGTTCGATAGTTTTTTTAAAAATACTATCATTGCTAATTTCAATCTATGTGTATCTCGGCGAGAATGGTAATTAATACGGAAATATGTTATTCAACTTGAAACTGTCAATAACAAATATATAACAAATTAATGTTCACATGTAATATCAAAATTTCAAAGAAAATGTCATCAAAGATACGTCGTTGTAATTTATTAGTTTAAACGCTACGTAGCATACAAATAACGTCAGAAACGTTTAAAAAGTTTTGCATAAAAAATGATAATATTTTACTTGTGACTACGGATCTAGTTACATATTGTCATTCAATTTTGGCCTTGAACGAAAAATTTTATTTTGGACAGAAACTACGCTTTAAGAATCATGACGTCCCGATGTAAATGTAGGTGATACTTAAAATAATTACTTCATAAATTATGCAGACAAAATATACGTTTGATAAAGCGTCGTTCGACTTTCTTTTTTTTTATTTCTAGGTCCGAAATCAGACACGAAGACGAGCGAACATTCCTCACCCTATTTAGAAGATATCACAATGAAGATAAAGGAGCGACGTTGCGATCTTCTCGGTAGACAGAAATATTTAAAAGAAAAGATTACGACGATGGAACGATCGATTCCTGCGTTAATAGCGTACAATATGTGGATGTCGAAAAATTGCGACGACGCGCCGTACTGTAAAATTCGCAAGATTATGAAGATGTTCGCTCCTTATCCGGACCAAACTGAAAAACTTCTCGAAAGTCTGAAGAATACTGTGAAGGATCTGAACAATGAGACCGAGGAGTTGCATGTACGGAACGATTGAAATTCAGCGTTTAATTCGGGTAAATCTTACCAGCGTGCTTGAATTATCGCTAAAAAATTTGTCGTTTCCTAAATGTACCTGCTCTTTTGCATTATATCTTCTTATTTTAAACGTATAATAATAAAAGTCAATTTAATCCCAGGAGAAGATCATTCAAGCGGATGTTAAATTGGAAGAGACAGAAATGGAATTAGAATCTTTGGAGCTTATAAATAAGGAGATGAACAACAAGTTGAAAGATTTGGAGAAAGAAGTACGGTGTCACACTAGTCCGAGTCTTCACTCGATACATTCCGAGGATTTACTTTGCTTAACGAAGATTCGTCAACTGGCTGAGGAAGAATTAAATCTGAAGAATTGTATTAAACAATTGGAAAAGAAGGAAACGCTTTTCAAGGAACATATGGATCGATTATTAACGTCTAAGGAGTATCAAAATGTTTGCACTCGAAAGAAAGTCGTTAGCTGCATTCCAGATTTAAATGGTAGCGGGAAAGGAATATGTTACGTGCCAAAAAAATGTTTATTGCATAAACAAAATGAATCAAAGAAAAAACAGGAAGGGAAAGCTGTCATCGTTAGTGAAAATTATATATTTAAAGTAGAATAATGTGATGAATTGATATATTTTTTATTTCCATATTCTTACAGCCACAAAGTGACGCAATAATTTCTACATCGAAGCAGAATATTGAAAAATTGGATCAAGAAACTGAGCCTGAACAGCCTAAGGGAGAGATCGGGAAAATGTCTTCCTGGATATCGAATTGGTGGTCAAATAACGAAAAATCGGAAGTTGCATCTCAAATGAGAAGCGCAGATACTCACACATCGTTTGTTGCGAATAATGTACAAAAATTTATTTCATCGTTATAACAAATTCTTCACTATCATTCATTTTTTGATATTTTATAGGTACTAACTGAAAAATTAACTACTGCTACAGTTAAACCCAGAATTCAGTCGCCCACTACCCAAAAAAAATCGAACGGTGAGAAAACAAGCGATGATGAGCAAATCAAATTGTCAAAGCCCAACTCGAAGTCAGCGCAGTGTCATCGCCCTTGTTTTACTCCTCAGGATCTTGAATATGTTTTGAAAAAAACTTGTGTAGGAAAACATATTCCTCCTTGCAAAATCCCTTGTAACAAACCTATCAGAAGTTATGCTACATCTTCAAGGAAACCTTTCTACGAGCTACCACGTTATACAATGGCAGATCATGGTATGTGTATGTACAATGTAGTAAGTTCTTTAATGAGAAGGACAGAAACTAATATGAAAATAAAATACAGGTATTCGAACAGGGTGCAAACCATACGTACTACCTTGTGATCTCAGAAATCCCTGCGATATTAGAGATCCTTGTGAAATTTGTCCATCGACGCCCTGTCCACGTCTAGTTGGAAGCTGCAGGTGTAATTGCAGGGGCAAATGTGCCCGTGGGTTATCCAACGCAGCATGTAACTGTAGCGATGATCCACTAGGTCCTTCCGGGGAATATCAACCAATTAATTCAAAACAGTTGGCTGAAGAGGACAGTGAGGATGAATTTTGCGAATGTTGCTCATGCGGTTGTGAAGACAGTGATGAATCATTGTGCCAGTGCACCTAACCGTAAGAGTTATTTAGTGTTCCATTTGTTATGACGTAAAGTTAGACTAAAGGGATTTCATGAAAAAAAGCTTAATAATTTAAAAAGAAATATATTTCATTATTCATGGTTTATAATATAATATTAAAATTCTGTTTATTAGTGTTGGTTTATAGAATAATATTAAAATTCTGTGTTGTAGGGGAAGTATTTGTGGTGACTAAATCTGAAACTAAGTCAAACAAATAATTATGAAATGAGGAAGTTTCAAACATTATTTTTTATATTAAGCAATTTTTTAATACATACTTTTCAGGTCTTAAGCCAACTCTTTTATTACAATTCATACTATTTATTGTATCCATATCCTCTGAACTTAATTCAAAATCAAAGATATTAAAGTTTTCTTGTATTCTCGATTTTGTTACTGATTTAGGAATCACTATGTGTCCACGCTGTATCTATTTAATAAATATCTTCTTTTTTAATTTGACTTATGAATGTAATTAAAGAAAATTTTGTCATTAAAATACATACTTGATATCGCAGTACTACTTGAGCAGGAGTTTTTTTGCATTTGGTAGCTAGCGCTGTAATTGTTGAGTCTTCTAACAGTACAGGCTCATCAACACTAAGACCTGGCTTAGCAAAAGGACAGTAAGCAGTAATAAGGACTCCTTTAGAATTGCAAAAGTCACACACTTTCTTCTCAATTAAATATGGATGGCATTCAATCTGATTTGTCACTGGTTTTATTGTACAGTTAGAAAGTATTCGTTCCATTTGTTGATAATTGAAGTTGCTTACTCCAATGTTCTTTACAAGACCTTTCTTTACAAGATTCTCCATTGCATGCCAAGTATCGACATAATCGGTATCATCGTTTATAGATTTACCATCAGCATCTTTAGGAAATGGATCATCACCAGCTGTAAAAAGAAATATATTTTATTTATTAATTAAGCAAAAGCAAAGATTAAAACTTACGCTTGAACCCCATTGGTGAATGCATCAGGTAAAGATCGAGATATTCAAGCCCAAGATTATTCAAAGTTTTCTTTAATGCAGGTTCGACTAGATCAGGTTGATGGTTCGTGTTCCACAATTTACTCGTGATAAAAATATCTTCCCGTTTAATAACGCCTTCTTTAATTTTTGCGGCAACTGCTGCACCGACCTCTGGTTCGTTTCCATAAACGGGGGCACAATCTAGATGCCTGTAGCCGATGTCAATGGCATCTTTTACTGCTTGAATCACTTCATTCGGCTTGGACTATTTGACATAAAAGTGTGAAATAAATTACTACAGATGAACGTAATTAAAAAATGGTTCAAATTTCGAATTTTTTAAATAATCTTGATTTAACATTATTAAAGTTACACTGACAAATCCAAAAATATATTTAGTAAAACTTAAGCAAGAATTATGTTATAAAAAATATTGTCTTTTTAAATTGTAACGTACCTGCCAAGTACCCAAACCAAGAATGGGACAAGTATTGCCATTATTAAATTTCACGATTTGTTGTGCCATCGTCACATGTGCATTCGAAATAATACATTAATGAATTGACGCGCAGCATTAATCGAAGCCCCTATTTATTTTATATGGTACACACACATTTATTATTTTCCACACTTACAATAAAATGGTAAAAGATATGGATATGACTGAGAGTGTTGCATATATACAACTAAGACCGTATAATAATGCATGACGGTGAGCGATATTTCCCTTTCCCCTGTGCTGTCTTTTTAGGCAATTTCTGAGCTCTGTGGTGTAATTCTTTATCTGGCTTTATCAGTTTATCAGAATGATTCTGACAATTTGAAGTTGCTTCGTCATATATACCATTATTTCAAGTTGTTATACCCTTTTCCACCTTTCCCTTATGGGAAAAAATTTTGAATATATGATGCATGGGAAATAAATGTATACATATATTTATTAGAGTATAGTTTATTTTATACGAATTTCACTTAGAAAATGTACAGAAGAAAAAAGTATTGTAAAGATTACAATGAAAGTAGTTTGTACATATTGGTTTTTAACTTAATTCGATTGCTTAGAATGGAATGTGGAAGGGATAGTAAGGGCTGGGCTCCGTGCTGAAAAAAATACAAATGACAATATCAAAAGCAAATTTTATAAGAATTACATTCATGAGTAGAAAATATAAAAATATTTACCCAAACATTGGACAGATCCTGCCATTGCAGTCAAAGGTATCAATGTATGCAATGTCTTCTGCGGAAAGTTTAAAGTCGAAGACTTCACTATTTTGAGCAATTCTTGATTTTGTAACTGATTTAGGGATAACTATGTGACCACGATCCAACTGAAAGAAAAATAAAAATTGTATTATAATGTTTACCTGTGAATATAGTTCATGAATGAAATATTAGCATATACCTGGTATCTAATAAGAACTTGAGCAGGTGTTTTATTATATTTCTTCGCAAGTTCACCTAATTTTTTATCATCTAACAATTTTGGATCATCTGGCTTAGCCCATGGTCTATCAGGTGATCCAAGGGGACTGTAGGCAGTAATAAGAATATCCTTTTGTTTGCAGAAATCAGAAAGTTTTTTTTGAGTAAGATATGGATGGCATTCAATCTATAAATGTACAATTATATACATTATAAATGTACTATTCAATATAAAAATGCATTCATTATACATCACTATAAATTGAATGAAACTTATATTTACTTGGTTTGTAACTGGTTTGATGCTGCAGTTTTTAAGTAGCCTGTCTATTTGTTCAGAATTAAAGTTGCTAACACCAATATTTTTAGCAAGTCCTTTAGATACCAAAGCTTCCATAGCTTTCCACGTATCTACATAGTCTACATTGCTAAGAGCAGGACTATCATCAGCATTCTTTGGGAAAAGATCATCTCCCTCTTTGTATGCCATTGGCCAATGAATTAAGTAAAGATCCAAATATTCAAGACCCAAATCTGATAAAGTTTTTTTAATAGCAGGTTCAACTAAGTCTGGTCTATGGAAAGTATTCCATAATTTGCTGGTGATAAAAAGGTCCTGCCTTTTCACAATACCCTCGGTCATCTTTGCTTTAAGAGCAATACCTACTTCTTTTTCATTGCCATAAACATGGGCACAATCGATATGTCTATATCCGATATCAATTGCATCCTTAACAGCCTGAGTAACTTCTCCAGGTTTGGACTAAAAAATGTATAAGTTATTAATTAATTGAAAAAGATAAATTACAACAACTTGTGCAATAGATATACAAGGTAGAAATATATTTGTAGTAAAAATAAAAATCATATTATATAATCTTATTTTCCACTTAAAGTCTTAACTGATATGATATCATTTATGTGTATTATTTTTGATAAACTTATCTTAAAATGTGTTTAAATGTGCACTTCTATTGATTGGAAATAATCGATACAAATACATATGAAGTTGAAAGTACAAAGTATAAAGATAATGAAGGTAGCATATAAAAATCTAGTTAACACAAATATAAAAAAATATAGAAAGATCTAATAGTTCTATAAATATTAATGTGATGAAAGATTGGTTTTTCAGAATATTTTGTTTGCTATTTTCATATTTGAAATTTTAATTCATTAAATGTCAGAAGATGTAGACATAGAAAACATTATAATGCCGTTGTCATAAAAACAACTAAGAGAACCACTACATTCTAGATACAAGGGCAAACCGTTCATCCATTTGGAAAATTCGAGAACATCATAGAAACATATTACATCTTATTGATATGTCAATGTTGCAGATATCTTATACTGCAGATTTCAAATAGAAAATTACAAAAACATTGCGAATGAAATTCATTAACACGAGTTGCGTAAGAAGAAACTCGTCATATATATCGTAAACAACTTTATCTACATTCTTCTTGAAAATAAAGGATTAATTCTTTGATGTTTAATTACTATATCGGTAATAGTACTGACCTTCCATGTACCAAGTCCAAATGACGGCACTTCGTTGCCGTTGTAGAATTTTGTCATCGGTACGTTTAGAACCATTTTGATTATTTTTTATGTTTTATACGAACTTTCTTACTTGAAACACAGGGTACGTATTTAACACTGGTATTATATTTTGATATTCGATACACTGTCGCAAAGTAGCGCCGGCAGCACAATGCCGGTAAATTCGCTCAGCTCCTTTATAAATATCCTACATTAACCCTTGTACCCTGTCCCCTTCACCGGAGGCAGACCCGTATACTCGTATATCGGAGGATGAAGCGTAATTTACTGTTTTGTTTATGTTTTGTTTTATATATTTTAAAAATAGATCGTGGTTAAATTATTAGAAAACCCCTGTTGAAAACAGAATATACTTTTCTTAATATCATATATTTCTTGTTACAACTTACACGTTACTAGCTAATAGCCAGCATAAAATTTTTTCTTCTAATATTAATAAAATATCTCATCCTTCTATGCTGTATCTGATTTGTAAATGTATACTTTGACTGCGAATGTTTACACCTGAATTTTAAAATATGTATGTAAATATGTATGAAATTAATGTATCTATTCTATTTTTTAGATGCTAATATTTTGTTGCATTTGAGGTATTCACGCAATTCACGCAATTCACGCAAAGGTTATAAATTTTATAGCTAGAAATACATAAATATACATACAAAGAAGAATTTTATCTTGTGGACCCCTAAAAGTGTACTGTCCTGTTCTACGAGATTTTTCTGCGCATGCGTTTCGCAGCCTCTGATATGTGCGCGACCTTGCATAATAAAACTTATGTGTTGTATAGAGGAAGTTTTCTATGTATTTGTAATTTGAAGCGTAGTGTTGCGACTCCGGTAAATTCGTTACGAGAAACGGGCCTTATGGAAAATTACAGAGTCCGTTATGAGCAGCAAGGGACAGTTCACAATCCCTTGATCACTAAGGATGAATGAATGAGTTACTCTTATAACAGAAATGGATCGTTCTCGAATATTAAATGAAATTTAAAATGTCATTGCACTTGTCGGTAAGTGGACAACTTTTTAAAACTTTTATAATTTCCAAGTACATATATCTAATCACGATCAATGATTGTATTTTTAAAATGTTTATATTCAAAGACTGGACCAATAAATAGGAAAGAATAGCATGTTGTATATTTACTTACGTATGAATATATATTTTTTCAATATGTGAACATTGAAATACTTCAGGTATTCATAACGTTTAATTTAATTTAAAATCGATCATCGTGGTCCTTTTACACTTGTTTTTCATTCTTATTCAAATGTGCAGTAATGGTACAAACAAAAACATTATCGATATTTTCTGTTTTGTTGTTGAACAATACGCATGAGCTTACGTGAATAAGCTTATTATGAGAGCATATGAATGAACAATAAGTGTTCAAATACTTCAGCAGGAACACTTCTCAGTTGAACACGTTTAAACTCGTATCTAGCATTGAAAATTTTATTAATAGAAATATCTTATATTCTATATATATACTACTATAATTAAACATACGTGCTTATGTTTAGGAGACGTACATAATTACTAAACTGAGAGAGCGCTCAAGCTCGATTATACATAGTTTTTCTGGGTCTATCGCAGAAATAAAAAATACAGAACATTTGATATCACAGTATTGAAAACAGTGCCAGCTGAATTCAGCTACGTTATTACTTCGATAAATATTTCACATTTTATAAATAGAAATAAAAATTTATAAGTAGAAATAAGTAGAATAAAATGCTTCTGTTAAATAAATTACGCAACATATAGATTATATTATTGTAACGCATTGCGGAATACATTTTTCTATCAAATAATCGGCCAAGTTAAATAGATTTACCGATCTTGATTACCGAATTGATAAATGTATCGATTAGATTAATATCATGTATGTGGAAAAGTAGATAACAATTTGAACACAATAATACAGAATTCGCGCTTAACTTATAAATATATGCAAATAAAACTATCATAGTATTATTTTCTACTGATTAATTGATGTACGACACCTAAGAACGTTAGGCAAAAAATGCTTACAGCAATAATACATACAAATCGCCAGCCATCCATACCAGAGCAACCAATAGAATTTGGTACAGAGATCGCTGATACAAGTATAGTACACAGACGTTTCGTAAAACTTAGGTTCCTTATTTGTATAGTTTGTCAAATTCGTCACATTATTTGTACATTCATTTTTTCTTTTATAAAGAATACAATTCATAATATCTTTTTTACAATAATCCTTTAAATTATTTTTAATCATTAAAAAATTGTCTTTTGGGTTGATCTCGTTGTTAAGTACAACGCTAATTTTTTGTTTGTATGAAAACCAATTGAACGTATTGTTTTCATCGTAGAGATAAGAAGACGTCTTTACCTTTCGGAAAATTAAGAATTTTACAATAGCCTTGATTTTTTTCTGAAGAACCACTTTGCTATATCCTTTATTTGCCGTATCCACGGCCGCATTCAGTTTAAGACGTCTATTTCGATAATTGTTCTCTTTCTTGACAGTTTCCAATAACAATTCCAAGATTAACAAGTTGAAAAATTTGGTCTTGAAATGCATAAGGTTTTCTAGGTCGTTTTTTAAGATTTGCAAACATCTGTCGTCGAATATGTCCGTAAATTCATGGAGGCGACTTCGATCGTTGATTTTTAGGACTATATAGCTGATTATCGTCAGAATAAAATTCATTACCCTGCTTTGAATAGTTTGTCCTTCTTTTAAGACGGTTGATATTTCTTTAAGCTTCCCATAGGATAGAAACGAACCGTTGTATTCGTTCATATATTCCAGCATCATGGTCGTTCACGAAATCGATAATTTCAAAAATTTCGATATTATTATTCTGCTTTTGTTTCAAACTGTAATTCCGCTCGTTCAAGTTATTTTTAACACTTTTTTCCTATATGAATATTAATCGACGGTTGGTTACGTAATCGATTCACAATTCACGTTCAAAAGAATTACTTAAAGGATAATTTAAATGAAAGTATCGTTGATTGTGCGCGATTCCAAAATGTCATCAACAAGTAATGGTGTTATTACTCTGACGATATTTTTGTTTACGTTCAGTCGGTGGAATGTTAGGAATGGACACAGTATGTGTGAGTATATCAGACTGATATAAGTGATCATATTCATTCTAATAAACTTTATTGATCTAAATACGAACTAAACTTACAAAAGGTTCAATACATAAAAAACATAAAAAAAAAGAAATATTCAATAAATAATCATAAGTGAGAACTTATATGGAGAAATTATTTTCAAAGCCAGAATCTTGAAACGGATGACTTCGAATCGGGGAAGAAGTACGATTATTGTGCAGGCAAAGATCTTCATAAAATGTAGAGTTCCTACGTGGATTTCCGATATCGACCGTGTCCAAGTGTTCTAGAGAATTCCATGCCTTACCAAAAAAACTCTCCTCCGTTGTGTCGTCTGTCCAAATGAATTCTGCGTTGCCTTCCGCATAGGAAAGAAACGGTTCCGCTGAAATTTTCTTTTTGATCGAGGAAACGTGCTGTTCCAAAAATTCCTCTTTTACCTGCTCCTCGAGCGCCAGGAACGATTTCAACGAATTACTGATCATGTTATCCATCGAAACGAAGCGGTTAAACGAATCGTTTGCATTGTTAGTTTGGTCGATCGGTTCCACGGACGTGTTCAGTTTCTCTGATTCATCCGAATTGAATATGGAGTCTCTCATTAGAATCGGCACGTCTTCGTATTCTTTATGCTTCAACGCGATGCTGCTGAACGTAATGACATCCGGTATCGAGGACAGAGAAGTCGTTGCTCTCGTGTGGAAGGAGGAATTGCTTGGGCGTTTGCCGGCTGTTCGCGTAGTTTTAATGCTGTTTGGCGACTTATCGAAGGCTACCATGTTCTTAATCGCATCACGACATTCTTTCACCTTATCGAGCATTTTAGATCTCCAGGAACTACACTGAACCATCGTGGATGACGCGATGTTTGATGACGATAGCAATCTATTGCAAGTTGGCGAACTGCTTTTGTTGGAAAATTTCGCGTTCCACCTATAAAAGCCATTTAATGATCGCGTTCAATGTTCGTGGCGTTTATTTCACCGAGAAAACTGGTATTGCAAAGAAAAAAGACAACATTTCAAACACGGTAGTTTATGAAACTTACGCTTGGGCGATATGATTCATGGTGTAATTTCTTCGTTCATTTAATGGCAATATAATGAATACGTGACCGGCAATGGGCTAATAACAAATAATTTCGAGGTGTCGCTTTTACCGTAACAATGATCGCTCGAAGGTCGTGCTTGAATTTACTAAACATTGCGATACGAAATTCGAGTTAGAGCATGTACCTACGTATGTGGTATATCTTGTCAGGTAAATTTTTCAAATTTTTTGAAACGAAAAATCGTTGAAACCGATTAGCGAACCGATAGTGGAAAAATATCACCGCAAAATTATTGGGTAATATTATGTTTGCGCGTAAGACTCTATTTATGTGATGCGTTGAGCAGATATAGAATAAGCAATTTTGCTTATTGGTGAAGTGAATTATGCTGAAAAAGGGCTCTCGTCCACAAGAGCCTTTGTTGTTTATTGGCCTTGAAGAAATCTGCTCCGGAATTCCTAATGAGTATAAGACATGGTCTTTTTTTTGAATGGAATCTTTGTTAATCTAGGCTAGCACTACTGTAGAACTCTATAGTCTATATTACGAACTTCTCTTATTTAAAGATGCGAAGCAATCAATGGAGAACAAAAAAAGGTATATTTACAGTGCTTACAGAAAGTATACACGATTGTATTTGTTATGCATATGAATTAATTTACATATTATAATTAATTAGCTATGTTAGAGTTCTAAGCATATTAGATTTCATAGCAATTAGTAGTACTTTCATATGACTATAAAAAGTTGGTACTATGAAAATGAAATGTATAATACTATAGGATTTGCATTCTCATTTCGTTAGATACTATTTTCATTCAAAATACATCTTTCCAAACAACCTTCAACTTCGTTCTAGTCCGTTGATTGTATTTCCGCTTACAGTATTTTGAACGATTACAGAAACAATAATCATCACTGCGTCATCTATCCTTGAAACAGAAGTTTCCTTTTATAGTTTCGAGAATTGTTCTCATATTGATTGTACGTGCTTCGCTGCAGTGCAAAAATGTATTTGCGTTGCGAGAGTCAGAAACTACCTTATTTTTTTATTTCTGTTATTCAATGTTGTCCTAACCATTTAAATGAGTTATTAGCGATTCGCATTTTGTAACGATTCTACAAAGAAAAAAGAGAATGAAATACTTTCTGCTTGACAATTTCTTCTTTTGATGCAATTTTATTTACTCGCAGTATATACACTCTTTAATGAAGGTTAACATTGGCTGAATGCGATTAGTCTTGTCCGTGACAGTGTCCACATTATTACGTATGATGTCATGTCGTCCGGAGCATCGAAATTTTCCATGGCATTCAATAAATCTAATTGACTAAATAAGGGTCAAACAAGTACCGAATTACACCGTGGGATTATGTAAGTTCAAAGGGGATATACCTTACTATTAATTTATACTGAATCTGATGAGCTATTTCCTGTCATTTTACTTGTTTGCAATGAAACTTTTATTATTCGAACGGGTAGTACTTATGTCCCTTTGCACTGTAAAAAGGAGTAGAAATAACATTACTATTTCTTTGCAGAATAACAAGAATAATTAATTTACAATTTAATGGACCATCGGGATGCTTACTCTCCAAATCGTGCAACACGTTGATGCGTGCCAAGTTTTGCTATAGAGGCCATTTCCTCATCCGTTAAGGAAAAATCAAATATATTCATATTTTCTTTCAATCGACTCGGTGTTACTGTTTTCGGAATGATAGCGATTCCTTGTTGCAACTGGAATATTTCGATGGAAAAAAATTAAATTTTATGTCTGTAGATAAACGGATCGATGTTTTAGTAAATTCCATTTTAGCGATATAGCCTGTGTTAACGAGCAAAGGATCGATTCACATATACATACGTATGTAATCGTATATTGTATTCGTATGTGTAATCGTATGTGTATATCTATTACTAAACTTATCTTTACTGGTGGAAATGGCCCGAATGGTAGGTTGCATTATCGTTAAACGAAATATCGAAATATATACAATAGTAGCTATAACCGCAGAACATGAAATAGTACTCTCCACACAGTATTTAAATAAGATAGTTATCTCTAAAATGATAAAAAATATTATAACTAGATATTATTTACTTACGACATATCTTAGAGCAATTTGTGCTGTCGTCTTGTTATACTTTTTAGAAAGCCCTACTAACACTGGATTGTCCAAGAAAGTTGGTATTCCCGCCTTATTACCTGGTTGTCCTAGCGGTGAATATCCGGTTATCGTGATATTATGTTTTTGGCAGAACTGTATCAATGGTTTTTGATCCATATTTATGTTCACTTCGACCTAATGGAAGTAATAAATTTTAAATTAATTGCGAATTAATTACACAAGTAGTGCAGAGAACAATTTGTACCTGGTTATTTACAGGCAGTATCTTGGCTACAGCAAGTAAACGAGTGATCTGTTCCTGATTGAAATTACTAATTCCGATACTACGAGTTAATCCTAATCGCACACACTCTTCCATCCCTTTCCATGTTTCGAGGTAGTCAGTATCCGACATCAAAAGTGCCCCATTTGCGTCTCTGGGCATTAAATCGTCTCCTTCCTAAAAAATACTTAGTACATTTTTTAAAATGCCCATTAAACAGGTAATTAAAACGTATTGAATTAGAACGAACCTTGAAGGCAAATGGCCAATGAACCAGATAAAGATCTACATAAGTTAATCCAAGATTTTCTAAAGATTTCTTACATGTTGGAACTACGCTTGACTCTTTGTGGAAGTTATTCCAGAGCTGTAAGAAATGTTATATGAAATGTCTTCATCTCTGATAAAAAATAAAATTTAAAAGTTTTAAATAAATTTAATTACTTTAGTTGTAACGAAAAGATCTTCCCTTTTCACAGTTCCATCCTTGATCTTCGCTTGAATTGCCTGACCAATTTCTTTCTCATTTTGATAGAAGAACGCTGTGTCTATGTGACGGTATCCTAGGTTTATTGCCTCTATTACAGCTGCTTCCACCTCTCCAGCACGGGACTGGGAAGGTACAAAATTTAATCCACTTTATTACTGCTATTACTCTCGAAATTTTATATCTCACTCTCATTTTAAGTAAACATCTAAAAAGTAAACCGCTACAACGTTTTTAGAACATCTTTATGAATAGAATCGAAAGTATAAATCACATATATCAATACCCGAGCTGCGGATATTTATGCAAATTTGCATTTTGTTAATATAATTATAATTAAAAGAATGAAATTTCATTAGAGATTTACTTAAATTATTACTTTACTTCGCTAAATGTTATAACGAATATTTTGCTATTATGCTTTATTTATATAAAGCAATTATATATATATATATATGGGGTTAGGTATATATATATATATATATATATTATATTGGGGTTAGGTATATAGTATATATTATAGTATATATATATATATATATAAATCAATTATATTACTTTATACATTATATGCATTATATGTATTTTTATGCCTTAACATTTTCTATAAACGTGTAGACATTCTTGGTTTATCAATAACAATTCCATCATATTTTTCTCAAATTTAAGGAACTTTTTAACGATAGTACAATGCGACTGCGTCGAAAATGAGTCAGAATTAAGGTGCGAGTATTTTGAATAAACGACGCAACGTGGTCAAGTGGTGCTTTCAAAAGAATTTGTTGAAACTTTTCACGTAGATGTAATCATAATGTACGATCGATATCTGCTTCGATTATTGCGTCTTATCTTTAAATATGTATAAATACGTACCTGATACGTACCAAGACCAAAAGCAGGCATTTTATATCCATTGGAAAGAGCAAGAGATGGTATTTCAGCCATTACTAATTATAGATTTTAAGTAAGTCGTCAAAACAGTAGATCTCGTTGGTGAATTTTTGTCAGAAAATTCCGCTGCCACTTGTAATCAGATGTAAAGTGCACAATATTCTAGAAACTAACTGATTGAACTGTATCGTTGAGTCTTCTATTCATACTATTCTACTCTAAGTAAATCATTATATAACGATAAAGATGACGCGAAACAATTCTAGCCAAGATTAGATAATTGCTCAATATTATTATGATATTTCAGAATGTTATCAAATGGTTATTTTTTGTTTTCGTTAACGAAGAAGACAGCATTTATTTTGATAATAATAATATAAATCTTATGTATGTAACTTGTTATCCTATGCCGATATACGAAATATGACGATATATATTTCGGATTCTTAGTTTATGAATATTGAAGAAAGGTGGGAGATATATATATTTTTTTAAGCAGTAGTTATTTTTATAACAATGATTTATTAAAAATAGAAGTAATTACAAGCATGAACGAAAATTACATAGAATATATGTTCTTATATATATAATATACGTTTAATAAAACAAAATGCTTAACGAAATATTTCATAGAATAAGACAGTTATGTAAAATAGTGAATCTATTTTCTCTTTTAGAATTCTATAGTGAACGGATAGTCCTTATGTCCCTTAAACCTAAATGTAAAACTTTGTTGTAATTAAAATGTAAAAACAAGAAATATGCACGTTTAATCACTGTATCCGCATATTACTTACTCTGCAGCAGGACAAATACGAATTCCGCGGTCAAGTGTATTGATGGTTGCAATTTCCTGTGATGTTAACTTAAAGTCGAAGATATTGATGTTTTCCTTAATACGTTCCTTCGAACTAGACTTAGGTATAGGAATGGTACCAATGTCGATCTATTGATAGAATAATTATTTCAATTAAACGTTTGAAGTCCATTGCAGCGCATTAATTACTTTTAAAAAAATGCTCGTTTCATAAACATCTTTTTATATATTTACACATTACCAAGTATCGTAAAACAACTTGCGCCGGAGTCTTCCCATACTTTTCGCTAATCGCGATTATTTCTGCTGCTTCGATGGTAACTTCTGGATCGCCAGGTTTCGCCCAAGTACGCTTAGGAGAACCGAATGGGCTGTAAGCCGTGATAGATATGTTACGTTGCGTGCAGAAATCACGTAGTTTTTTCTGATTTAAGTTTGGATGGCACTCCACTTGACACATGACAGGTTTGATTTGGGCGATCGATAAAACACGATCGATCTGTTGGGAGTTAAAGTTGCTAAGACCTATACTTTTAGTTAATCCCAGCTTTACACATTCTTCCATAGCTCGCCATGTATCGAGATAATCCACGTCTCCATACATGGGATTACCTTTCTCATCGACTGGCCACAGACCTTCAGAATTTTCCTAGGATTATAATGTTTCTACATAAATAATGCAATCATTTCTTTCAATTACTTTTCAAGCTTATTATGTCAATACCAACTTGTTGAACGGAAAAACGAATTAATAAAGTCATTCGGATGATAATTCTTTTTACAGATCTACCTTCTTATATACAGCTTTATTTTTGTTATATCACATTTTAAAACTAAAATTAAATTATACCGTATTTACAGTTTGGAATAAAGAATGTTCTAACTGAAATTGATTGGTCTTAATTTTCTAATAGTAAAAAGCTCTGATGAAGAGACAATGCGGTCAACAGATTTGGAATGCATAGTCAAGTTATGAAATCTTACATCAAATCCCATGGGCCAATGAACAAGATAAAGATCAACATAATCGAATCCGAAATTTTCAAGTGATTTTTTGCATGCTGGTACTACCAATTCTTTCCTGTGCATCGAATTCCATAACTGAAAGTACAAAAAAGTTAGTGTTGAGGTTGATTGATAGAATAACGAGTGGATGAATTTGTAATAGAAAAATATATTGAAATAAATAGAGGTATAAGTATAAGTATAGTGTATGCTGATTCAGATCCTCACTCTTACAGTGTTACAATACGATAGAAGCAGCTATGATAGGGAGCACGTTCATATATTTATAGCAAAGTATATTACCAAAAAGTTAACCTTGTAGCTCTAGCTGAAGGCTACAAGAAACAGCAATAGAAATCTACATATAGCTCTTTTGTTTCTAGATCTTGTAATCCAAAACATAATTTATATACAAGGGCACAATAATATAGATCGAATTTTTTGTATCACTAAATTCTATTCTCTTCGTAACAGTGGTAAAAGAATAGGTGTAGAGTTTTTCTTGAAGTAATTACTTCAACAGTTAGTAGCAAAATTAATGCCTAGAAACTTTGTCATTAGGCAGAAAATTACCTTTGTCGTGATAAATAAATCTTCTCGTTTTACCACACCCTCGGCAATTTTATCGCGTAGAGCTTTGCCAATTTCCTTTTCATTGCAGTAGATATAAGCACAATCAAAATGCCTGTAACCGGCATCCACCGCGTCTCGCACTGCTTGTTCAACAACACCTGGATTGTCCTTAAAAAATTTACATGAAAAAATTATCATTCAGTGGTATATATATTATCATACTCTGTCCGATCTTAAAAAATTTACATTTGAGATTTGTGAAGAAAATTTTGTAAGGTCCTTCCTGTTAAAAGAAATACTTTAATTGCTGAAATCGTGAGATCTATGAATAATTCAAAGCTTTAAAACCACTATTTTGTCGTGTCATATAATGTTATTGTGTTTTTCTCCATTTTCATCATTCTCCATTATTAATGAAGAGAACCTGACTATAAAATAGTGATATGTAATAATTTACAATACGATAAAGAACTTTCAAACATACCAGTTTAATAATTTTGTAAGTAAATTTGTCAGTAAATAACAAATAATAACTATTTTTTACATTGTTTTCTTTTATTTCAAATATCTTATTATACTTTATCTTTATATCTATCTATTACTTTATATTTATCTATACTTTATATACTTTATATCTATCTATTATTGTACTTTATACTTTATGTTAACTAGAAATCTGTCAAACGTCTCTTTTAGAATATAAAGTAAAAGATTTGGCCGATACTTTCGTACATCTGTGCATTATCATATATTAGTTTTAAACAAAATACTCACTCCAGCTTGCCAAGTACCAAGTCCTAAGACAGGGATTTTTTGTCCATTACTTAAAGTATGCATAGGTACAGCCATCCTTTAACAGTTGTTACTGCAACATGCTATATCAATCACTCTAAAATTCACATATTAGAATGAACTGAATTTATAAATGTTAAGATAAGTTCCCCCCACTTAACAACTTACATATCATATGTATGTTAGTCTTCTGATATGAAGCAAATTATTATATAATTAAAATTGTACTGTTGGTTGATTTGGTATATAATGTATAACGTATCTTCCTTTATGAATATGCAAATTGATTTTATAAAAATTATTGCAAATGAATACCATATGATATTATATAACAAAGGTATTAATTGTAAGATAATACAGTATTAATCTGCATACTGGATTGTTCCTAACCAGTAATTTCAGGCTTTTCATTTTGTCTATATCTTTTCTGTTTTGTTTAAACAGTTTAAGATAAGATGTACACAGAAACGTAAAAAGGTTATGCATAAACTTAAATGACCCAGTATGCAAACGACATTAGCAAAAATAAGGTTGTAAACGAAGAATTAGGAATATTGGCAAAGCTAGAAAATAATTCAACAGTATATAAAATACGGACACATGCATATATTTTATATGTTATTTTATATATTACCTCATAGAGAATGTTCAGAACATATTTCAAAATCATCGAAATCGAGCTTTTCGGCAAGTTCACCAATATGGTGGTCGTTTTCAAGTTTCCTGTGGTTTTTGCACAAAACCATTAGTGTCGTTGCATGTACAATACCCTAATGACACTCTTTTCATGAGAATCCATCCTTATAATGAAATGTAGCAATGATCAAATATTATTTATCATGATGCTACATAAAAAAATGTTTACATACATGTATCTTACATAGTATGTTCACTATGGCTTTTTTGCCCGATATGGTGTATCCTATGTACCTTGTATTAACATTAGTATGTCTTTACATACACACACAATTTAAAATAATGAATCATCAATAGTCAAATCAAGTTAATTTCACAATAAATAAATATGAGTTAATTTATTTCTTTATGTCAATAGAAGAAATATAGTTTGTCACAGCATTATCAATTTCATTAATCATTATTATAATTATTTGATCTTCTATTAATTCTCGCTTATAAATATTCGATAAAATTTACGTCTTCAAAGTTAAGCTTTTTGTGACTTATTTTAGATTCTTTAAAAATATATATCACGAGTATAAATATATTTATTTATCTTAAACGATAGTATTTTACTGATGGATGTAAGTTTTGTTTTTCACTTTAGTACAGATATAATTAAGTATGTCCATCCAAACTAAAGATGTTTCTGCTGTCATTCAGAGATATAACAATATACCATTTTTATTAATAATATTTTTTTGCAAAATGTAATTTCTTTCTTTTGTTTGTCTTATTAATGGTTTTCTCTTACTATTTTACATATATTGAAAAACATTTTCTCGTAAGTTTCCCAAATATTTTTCCAATTTCCATTTTTGAAAGTTTTGAGATTAATGTATGCGGATTCTGTTTTCTTTCGATAGACTTTGTTTACTTGTAGTTTTTGTAGTTGATGCTTTATAGTTCTATTAAGAAAGTTACTTAATTTGTAAGTATACTTTAGCATTAGATTGTTGATCATTACTTCGGTCTTTAGAGTTTTAACTTTGCTTTACAAACATGTAAGTGTTTTTCCATTAGCATTGCTGTTAATTTCATATTTTACTTCGTTAAAGATTTCAAATGTAAGCACTGAAACACTTTCATTACAGAATGTGAAGAGAAAAACAATATTGAATTCCAAATTATCAATATATCCCTATATACAGTTTTATGTGTTACAAAACACGTACAATGTATGTTTTATCAATGAAAAAATTTAATGACTGAGTATTCGTTTATATACACTTGTATTTTTCATGAAAATTTACGGTATAGGTACAAGAATAGATATAAATATCTTTATAAAGGCTTTATTTTCTCAGTATCGTTTGTTGATCGTGGTTTTTCTTTTCTGGAATTTTTATTTTGATTTCTTATCTTTTTCGAATTTTCTACTCCATTTTCTAAGTCTATTCTCGTTCTTGCACGCGTACCAGGGCCCCAGTTGATCGTAGGATTTTGTTGAAATCGCGTTAGCTTGTTTTGCCTAGATAATGGATTGGCCAGAGGATGTATATCAAACGAAACGTTCGTTGTCATTGGTGTCTTTAATATTCTTATCGCGGGGCTATCATTTGATAGTTTATCTCTTTTCACGGAATTATTTTTTTCCCATGCACGTACAATATCCCATATAACTTCATTTGGAGCATCCGTCTTTACAGATGTTTTGCAGGCATGTGAATACGATACACAATATCCTGCGTTTAATAATGCAGATCGAAATGTTAACATCGACGGTGTAATACATTTGATTGTAGACATTAAACGACTAAGAGTATAATATAATGGAACGTCTAACTCTTCGCGAATAACATTTAAAACTCCTTCTATTCTTTTTAATGTTGCCAACTTCATTTCGTCTAAATTACATAGAAGATTAGATACAAAATGTTGGTCATGCAAAGGACCTAACCATATCGGTCCCCCTTCATGTTGCCTATGCTGACAGATTTTACAAAGTTGATCCACATAAGGTAAAGATGCTAATTTGTAGCCTCCACTAGGCTTCTTATAACATAATGGTTGAGTGTTGATGCTTTCGCAACCTGTGCATTGGTACACCATTCCAATTTTAGTTGCATTCTCTTTACATTTAATTTGACTGGAAAATACTTTAACAAATACTCTTATATAAAAATCAGCACTTATAGAAAGTACTGGTACTATGTATCTACCATATCGCCCTGCGTGTGAAGCAATACTTTGCAATAATATTCTTAGTGCCATTTCATGGCATGCTTTAGATTTTAAAGAGATAGCTCCATATTTAAGATAACAAGTTTCAGGAGAGTTACCAGCTAATACTGCCATATCTGTAGCTGTGATCATAAGTAGTCCATCGTCTGATACACATTGTACCGCACCATCTAGAAACGTTGTAGGACAACCATATGGGTCTAAATCTATTACGTCAAACTTGTCCTTTCTACTTTGATACATGAGCAATGTTGCATCTTCGTGACTCGGTTTTATAAGATTTTCGACTCCATTGTGTTGTATATTATTTTTAATGCTTTCAACTGCCTTGGCAGAAATATCATTGGCTACGATTTGTTTTATGCCTTTCACTTCTTTGGCATACCGAATGCTACGTAAACCAGTAGCAGATAAAGCTTCCAATATGACAATTCCGTCTTGTTTTTCTGTGCTTGTCTCTGTTGGTTGCTTCTTTATTCCTTTTATGTAAGTTGTTAACACAGCTACGCTAAGATCCCTGTTAAATTCTTGAACAGGATTATAAAATACGTTTGTATTGTCAACTAAAATTTCTGCCTCTCCTTCCTTTATACTTGTATCTAATTTTGGTTTTTTTACGCACTGTTCCATGTTATAAAAATACACAATTCTTAGACCTCAAAAATATTGAATTAAAAATTTCATATAATTGAAAGTATAAAAATAGTTGTATTTTCTATCTAATATCTTAATATGGTTACTAAAATTTTACCTACGAATATATTAATTTATTATAAAATATTCTTTTAACATGTGTGTCTAAACATTAAACAATATACTAAACGAGGCGATTTTTTGGTTATGTTTACTATAATCTGTGAAACGTTACGTGGACTAATATGTAGCATTCTGGTAGTATAAACATACAAATTTAATATGTTTTAAAATATCAAGGGGTGCCAATATGATACTGTTAAGTATAATTATCATATATTTTATAATCATTAAATTAGATAATGTGCATAAATAGGTTATATTTTTGCAATAACAAATTGTTATTAGATGTACACTGTAATTTCGCATTTCACCAGGGGATGACAGTATTGTGCTATACCTATTGTCGGTATAGCATTTTGTCACGGCGAGGTTATTTCGTGGCTGGCATACCGGCTTAGAAATTCAACACTGATTTTAACGTTCTCTATCAGAGAAGGATTTTCCTATCTGCCTAACTTGATAAGGTATTTATTAACAAATGAAGATCTTCTTGTAGCAACTAACTTTATTATCCGTGAAGATTGAATTCAATGTAATTCCTATGTTTGCCGTACCAAATCGCAGAGGCCGTAAGAAACACTCTGATCTTTTTCCAGGTCGGTATTTCAGAACTTGAGACGCAAAGTCCCAGTCAATGTCACGTCCATTCCATACTTCGTCAGTGTAAGTATTTTTCGATCAATCTCAAATTGAAAACAGTTTTAATTTTTTGAAGTTGAAAATAACTTGTAAATTCAAACTTGGAACTTGAACTATTGGAACTTTTAGAATTTTAGCGTAATGCAACCACAAACGAATATCTCGACTGTGATGCAACTTGTATTTAAAGATAAAAAAATTAAAGAATTATTAACACAATAAAAAAAAGTGCTCGATCTGTCATTCCCTAAAAAAATCTATTCTATTATCGATTATGCCTATTTTCCCCATCTTACGTACTTACGTAATTCATCCGTAAATCGAACAAGTTTGTTTCGTTTGTAATCTGCCTACAATGAAGCAACAAGCGACATCGTTTATATGCATCGTGCAACAAGACCTTCGATCAAATTTAGAATTGTCACATTGTCACGAATTTCACTCCGCAAAGAATCTTATTACGACATGCATTTCAAGTGTTATACATATTTATTTCAAGATTCTCCCGTGACATTTGACACGAGATAATAATGAAAATTCGTTTCATAAATCATATAATGATAGTAAATTATCATAATTAATAATTTACCCACTTTACCGACGCTTAACCTGTGCCCAATTGATGTTGTATAGCTGTAAGTCAGTATAGTCGTTAGTACAGTTAAGTAGCCGCCAGATAAGTAACCGATAGGAATGCCCTTTGCTCACGCGCGCTTCTCACACACGCGTACCCATCGCAGTCTGTTGTTTAGTAAGTTGACAAGCGAAATGCATATGGTTTTGCATTATAACTTCTCATTTATTTTTTTACTCGATGATTAAGAAAATCAAAATTAGAGAGTCATCTTCTACATGGATGCAACGAGGAATCGAGTAAATGAACAACTGGCGAAGTGTGTAAATCATTAGCTAACAGATAAGTAGTCGCTGACTGGAAAAATCCGCTTCTAGAGCCCCTAGCGCAGCTATTTATTTATCGACAACTATACGTAAGTGCACGCTTCGATATAGAGAGGGCTAATCCATAATTTTCATAGCGACTCGAGGGTCATAACGCGTAACTAGTTAACGATCTGTCATTTCGCGATCAAACATTTATGCGTACGTTTTCTATACTTGTATGTTTCGTAGAATCCTATGGATGGTGGGGATAGCCACAGCAAGTCGTATGACCGCGTCATTGAGTCATACTACTTGAATGTACAAAAGTCAACTTCAGACTTCTCTGGGACCCATGGGAACAGGTCAAGGATATTGTCAGAAGTCGATTTCGTGTATACACAAGAGTTTTTAGACGGAAGCATTTATCCGCTGTGATTGATGGAACCTTAATATTAAACTTTGGGTTTGTAATCGTGGAATAGATTTAGAATAGATGGAATAAAACCGACGAATGGTTAAGCCTACTATGCCTACACTACATCCGTATTGCTTCATGTTGCATAATAAAAGTTCCAACATTTGTAGAAACCTATACAGATAGACGTTAATATTATCTATTATTTGTATATTTCTTCGATATTATCGCTGAATATCGCTAATCATATCGCTGAATGAGTACATACATCGCGTACATTAAGCAAACACTCGAGGTTATAGATTATATCGCGATAATTTGCCATTGCAAACAGAGAAACAAGTAATATATTGTATAAAATGAATGATTAATGGACAATGAATAATAAAGATTTTTATGCGTAGAAGAAGAAAGTAGGTGATAGAAGTGGCGAGTATAGTTGAAGGTGTTACTGGTGTAGGTGGGGATGATGTTGGCGGCAGTAGTGGAGGAAGTTCAGTTTCGTTTTCAGTCTCATCCAGGCTGGAATTGCGGCGATGAACGCGACTAAAATACACTAGAAATCCGGTGTTCAACCCGACGAAGTTCAAGAATCAATACAGTGCGTGAATACTCTGAAGGGGTTGCACGGTGGTGTGTGGCAATAAATTAGCTGAAAAGGTGACCACTTCTACTAATCGCCCTAACGCATTATCATCATCAAGTAAAGAAACGGAATTCAATTTATAATCAGTTATTCCAATTATAATCATTTTATTCATATATTTAGCGACGTACAACAGCACAACATTGTAATTATTAGCACTTTTAACGCCAAATGGTTCGATTGTACATTGGTAATGAGGATAGATAAAATATCAAAGTGTGTCTCGATCAATTTTTCTCTAAACCACTCAGGCCCTTTTAGATAATATCGACACGAATTTCATTCGTTCGGTTTGCTTCCCTTAGTCAAGCGGCGACTCGGCTATTTCGATGCTTGTCGTAATATCGTTGACGTAATGACCAAATATAAAAGCGAATAAGGCATCCCGAGCAGAGATAACGAGCATCGCACAGCTTTTCCAGAATACGAACGAGAACGACATCGACGAACGTTTACTGGCTACAGATAAAGAGAAACGAGTTCGTTTCGTTGTATATGTCGGAATCGCGTGTTTAGTCTGTTATCAAATATAACGATGCAGTCACATAGGAAATTCGCTTGCCAAGAGCCTCGTCCAAGTTGCAACTAGTTTCTATTTATTAACAAAATACACAATTACTGTATATAGAAAATGAATAATAAAGAAACAATTTAGGGAACTCCTAGCGAAAGAAGCGATTTCCTATCTATGCTTTTATTCTTATAAAATTCTTCGGCAATTTTATTTAACAAATACTGAATTACCAAATAACGAAACAATTTAGAAGGCTGTTATAATGGTCGACTTTCGTCAACGTTAACGAGTCAATAATTATTATTACCAGCTTCGTGAAATTTCCCATCTATTTCTCAATTTTATCAGACATCGAGTTTATCGCTAAACTTTAGACAGGCTGAAAATATCACTCACGAGGATTTTAATAGTCTGATCGTTCGACGAGGCGTTTTGTTAGAATGGGACCCCCGCGGGTCTCATTTCGGCTGCAGCCAAGGGTGAAACGCAGTTTCAAAGATATATCGAGAAGGGTGACTGCGTGCTCCGTTGAACGAGGAGATCGATATAACACATGCGCCCTACGGCACAGATTCCTAGCTGAAACCTGCGTTCAACAGCATTTCAGCTTGTACACAAACCGCGGTTCCAGTGTTCTGTGTTCTCTGTTCCCTTCCGTCGCCAGTCGGCTCGTTCCTCTCTCGCGATAAATCCTTTCGAGCAAATCAACGTCTTATCAGTCGTATAGATCGATCATTTTCATTAATCGTGACAATTCGTTTAGTCTGCAGAATGATGCAGTAGTGATTACATTTTTGTTCTTCTTCGTCCGGTGCCATTGCGCGTAATTAGGTTCGCTCCTTCGACTTCTACTTCGGGTACTAATTGATACGGTGAGTTCATAATGCAATATTAATATTATTATCTATCTTTTATCGTAGAATGTCTTCGTAGCTCTTGATAGACTGGATTTTTATAGAAAATCGTGTTTTTATAATTATAGGTAAAGAAATGGATTTTAAATAGCGATTTATTTCATATGCGATAAATTTTTAAATATTAATACGAGTTTACTTTGAATATTCGATTTTTCTTTGGATCATGGACTTGGATTGGATATATTTTATTTAGGATCGCTTACTTTGGACATTAGATTTTTCTTTGGATCTTGTATTTTGAATATTTTCTGTACGTTTGCGTATCATAGACATTTTGTACGTTCTCGTACTTTTATTACAGTTTAAGCAGTCTAATCGTTAAAAATTGTTTATTTGGCAGAAAAATCGACGAGAACAAAGGCCAGTGTCATAGAGATTCGTGTCTGTTCCTCACCTTAGTACACAAAATGCGCTCATTCGACACCTGATCGGTATTACTCAATCGCTCCCCGCTTCCTGTTCCTTGCTAATTGCGCTAACACGAATGTCGTCGTAATCTCTATTTATAGTCGTGAAATAACAACGTTTCTCCAGCTTGTTGTTGACCTTCTGCCGTTTGTACCGTTCCCATGCAGGCAAAGACGAATTTACCTGACCATTAACCAAGCAGTAATTAACATTTCGCTGAAATATAAACGAAGTTTTATTGTAAATAAACTGTCGACGATATCGACGAGCATGAAATTAGCGAAATAATTCGTCGCCTTTGAACAAATGGAAAATGAACGATGGATTCAATTAGATTAACGTACGGGTAAGGTTGTTTCCTGAATTGCACGGTGTGTGTAGTTGTTAATAATAAACCGTTAACAAACTGTTATGAACGCGAGAATGTTTGCGGATAGCTTCAGATAAATTACGATTCTATTAGCCTCGCTAATATTAGCTTCGTTTTTCGATACTTTACGGTTTGAGAGAAGCACGTGAAGGTTTTTATTAACTCGATATTTCCATAGAAAGGAACATCGTGTAATAAAAGGTGTACAATGTATCAGAAACTTTTCAAAATTTTTTGTAAGAAATTTTCTATCGATAAGTTATTGATCGATCGACGATTCATCGTTAAATAAATTCAACTTAAGGACAGCTCCGATCATTTTGTCTAGCTACACCATTTAAAGTTACTCTATATTTATGGAGCCTTAAAGTATATCTTCTAGATCTTGTTATATTTAGAAAAAGATACAGATAAAAATGTCTATAATGTTTTATATTTAGAAATGTTTCCCTATTTATACCACTGTATACGAGGTGTATAGGAAAAGTTTGATCGGTAATCAAAGAAATGGGCTACCAAGATATCATTTTCCAAAGGACAAAGTGTTTCATTCCTGTCATTTACACAACGAGGTGTCTTAACTGAAATGACGATAAAACCGAATGATTTATCAGAGAATGCTCTTTCCCTCGGAATATAGAAAGTCAAATAAGAGCTGCAGTCGTTCTATTGTAGTTTTGCCTCCTTTATTCGCAACAATGCCTCGAGACACAATACTGTCTACGTAAAGCAAACCAATATGGAAGAGTACAACTATTCCCGATAGCCGATCGAGTCTCAAAAACCTGTTTCGTCACAGAAATTCTGGACTGATTAACTCAATCGAGAATCATTGTTTGCAACACGTCGATAAGATCGGCTAATGGATTATTCCAAGACGCGCAACTGGTATCGATTCGATCAACGAAATTGTATTGGATAGATATTAAATAACGAAATTAATAGAACAGATTTCAGAAAGAGGTTTACGTAATCGTGCGTAATTTGCGTGGATTAAGGAACGCTGTTTGATCGCTGATTAGCTCATAAGTGTCAATTTCACCGAGCCGCCTACGAGAATTATGTTAAACCGATAGCTCGCGTTACTTGACCTCAAAACGTCGCCGATATGTCTACCTAGATGTTAATAGCGTGTAGATACATTTAGCGCCGCTGTTTTTTGCTCAAACTTGACCCTGATTCGCTCGCTTTCCATTACACGATGCATTTCTCACGCTGAGTCTACCAAATCGGTGGATCTTCGTTCTAGCGTCAACTGTTTCAAATCATGCATACCCTAATTCCTTCATGATATTTTAGGCGCAAATATGCAAGCCGAGAAGACGGACAATGAAACTGAGAAAAACGACACGAAGATAGAGCAGAACGATGCTCAGGCGGAGAAAAGCGACGCTGAAGTTGAAACGAAAGTGGAGACGAACGATGCAAGTAAGAAGTCAGCCGAAGAAACAGTGACTAACAAAGCAGCAAATTTGAAGATCGAAGACGAAAGTGGAAGTTCGGCGCCTAGCAGTCCCAGTGCCACGCAGCCTGCAAGCTTTTTGGCAAGCTTTAAGGCGTTTTCGAAATTCGGTGACCCAAAAAGCGACGGGAAACTGATCACGTTGAGTCAGAGCGACAAATGGATGAAACAAGCGAAGGTGATCGATGGAAAGAAGATCACTACCACTGATACGGGCATTTACTTTAAGAAACACAAGTACGAGAATACCGATGATGGGAATAATAATAATTCATCGATTATTTACCTTTCGAAGCATTTTTTCAGATTAAAAGTCAGATTTCTGAGGAAGAATTTGCTATTCTTATTTTATATATTTTATGTATTTTCTATATGTATTATATATTTGTTATTCAGAAATATTAGTCTTCCAGTATGTGTACGTTTATGTACATTTAGGTTTTACATACGTATGTATGATGTTTTAAAGTAATTTATCTTACGAAGCAATCGTCTAAATGATTATTTGAAAAGATAATTACGAAAAGATATTCATCTTTTTCAATGGTATCGTAGATTTCAACAAAATAATAAACGGATCAGTGTCCGAAGTGTTGACGAGGAATTGATTCTGCTTTTAGATCAATGAAATTGGGCATTGAACAGTACAAAGCGTTTTTGGAAGAACTGGCTAAAAATAAGAAGGTTGACTTAGCAGAGATGAAGAAGAAAATGGCCAACTGTGGGCCACCCGGAGTTACCGGTGGTGCTGTAGTAAGTCTCGTACATAAATACGCTTCAGAAATTTCTTCATTCTATAGTCTACTTCTAGAGAAACGACTAACATCGAACACGGTCAGGTTCATAGTTTATAATTTGATCGATGAGAACAAGTTTCTTCGATGGTTTCATAAATGAATCTAAAGCAGCGGTAGTTTGTCCATTTACTTATCGCGACCTTGTTCGTCATGATATCGACACTGAAGATTTACGATATTGCTACACCTGACCTCTGAATATAAATTTGTCAGCGACGTGTTTTAAATTCTCGCCTACGTATCATATAATCGTCGAGTAACCTTCTTCTTAATTAGGTTCATCTGTGTTAAACGTCTCGAGAATATGCTGGAAAAATCCATATAGCGATTTCGTTAGAGCTAGATTTTTCATTCCAAGTTTTTATTCTCAAATTGAGTAACGTAGATGAATACGTAAGTAATTTAACGACTTGTTATATCCTTCGATACCACGTAGTTGCAGTTGTAAAAGTGAAATTTCCATATCAGAGACAGTAAAAATAGGTTTGCGATATATGTACCATATGTTGCTTTATCATATTGCTTTATGTTGCTTTATTTTTACGCTATCTATATAACTAACCATTTTTCAGGCGGGCAAAGCGGCTTCCACAGTGGACAGACTCACAGACGTCAGTAAATACACAGGCTCTCATAAACAACGTTTCGACGAGAGTGGTAAAGGCAAAGGAATCGCTGGTCGGAAGGACCTGCCCGATCAGTCCGGCTATGTGCAGGGCTACCAGAATAAAGACACCTACAAAGCCCACTAGCTTCAGATTCGCGCGCTTCTGCGATGTCTTTGACACTCTGTTGTCCCGTCCACGCACTTCATACGAAACGCTACATGTCGCGTTCTTGCCTCTTCACGTTCCTCGACTGGCACAAGGATCTTCCGTTGCAACCTGTTGACACGCAGACAATCGACATAAGGAACGACGATGATCGGCAAACGCGTTGAGAGCTTTCCTCGATGATACCTTTCGGGCGACCCAACGAGGAATTTCAAGAATTTCGCTCAAGATCGATTTCCTTCGCGACGAACAGCGACTCGGGAAGCTGGTGATGGTTTATTTGGACGATTATGTTATCATAGATGATAATGCAATTTTGCAGAATAGTTTACGAAACATCTGCGAGTTGAGCTATTTTAACGAAGATACTTTTTCGTTGCTAATCTTCTGAATGCAATTCCGAAGATATTAGAATATTCATAGATCGTACTGTTCGAATTTTTGATGCTACGCTGTGAACGTAGTTTAACTTTATGTGCCTCATTTGCTTTGTACTTTATTTCACGTCAGTCGGCTCGTCAATCGGAGCTTTTTCGCTTTTCATAGGACCATTTACGCCCGGTCGTGATGCAATTTCAATGCGACTAATCGTCGCGTTTCTATCATTGCTTCTCTGTACGATTCTCAGTGAATTCAAAGAGCGTGCGATTTTATCGCAATAGGTTCGTTTAAATCGATCATCCAGTTGGGACGATATGAGAACGATATAAATTCTATCCTATTTTCATACTATCGTAGTTACGTTTCGCATGGTTCCGATTTAATATACCTGACTCGCATTTCTTTTTTCTTGTACATATTGTACAACAGTTCGACAGGGTCGCAAGTACAAATACTATCGCTCGGTTTTCCTCGGTTTATCAAGCGCGTGTTCGATCGAAAGTTGAAAAGCTACTCGTCAAGGCATTAGTTGGCAGATACTCAAACTTCGAAATTTCTTTTCTACGCTGTTCTGAATCGTAGATAGTATATGACACAGCATGGAAACTATAACAGTGTAGATTTACGCTAATGCTAGTCAGAATTAGTCGAAGTTTATCGAGAATTTACGAAAATTACTGGAACGACGAAATCGAAGTTGCAGAGCAAACAATTCTAATTTCTTCTATTAGGTTGAGTAATGAGCTTACGTTGAGCGTTACTACATTCGTATAACATTTATCTACAATCAAGGAATAACTTTTTTATCCTGTTTCTCTATATAAAAATATATATCTTTCATAAAAATACGCGTATCTTTACATTCTGCGAACATTTTTGTGATATTCTTCGAAACGTTCTAAAATACATACGCTAGGCAGAGGCGAACGAACTTATTACCAAACTCAACGCTTAAGTACTCGTACGTGCGCATGTATACTCTCTGCTATCCTCTTCGAGGATCATCGCGCGGGTTTTTGGTGCAAAACTACTTTTTTAGGGCCCTCTTGCATAATAATTTACTAAATAATAATATTCATAAATCGACTAGTTACAAGTTTCAAGTTATACGCCACAAATTTCCTTTTCTACAGCTTTATAATTTTTCAAACGTCAAATAAGATAAAAAATTCACTTATGAAAGCTTTCGTTTCTTTTATCAGCAAATTTATTAATATTATACTTGCAATGATATTTATTAGACTGCGATTTTTTATTAATTAGAGCACTTGTTACAATTTGTAATAGGCGAAACAAATCCCTATATAAATTCTATTTCTTTAAATGTGTTCAGACGAACAGAAATTTGTATAGAAATTCGCAATTCGTGTAATATGGCAGAGTAATTTGTATAATTTGACTAATAACATTGGTTCAAGTGTGTCAGATTGTGAAACCGTATATGTACAACGTGTATATGGTCGACACGAAAGGTTGGAGTATACGATGGAATCGTGATTGCATTAATGTGATTATGCGAATTTCGAGATATTTATGGTTACATACACATTAATCGAATTAAAGTGTACTTAAAAGATGACCGCCTGGCGCGCAATGGCGGTAAGACCAAAATCCGTAACTCTCTCTTGGTACTAATTCTCCGAGATATTTAAATGAAAGTCACCGTTTTCAATTTGGAGGTACGACTGTGGAAGCGAAAAGGTACTTTTTTTTATTAACGGGTATTTAAAGAATATTGGAACAAAAATATTATTTATTCTATGTTACATCCTCAGAAAAATACTGAAAAGATTATCGTTGATTTAATACTGTAATATATTTGTTCTTTGTATTCTTTATATGAAATTTATCTTGAAAAATTCTTTGCAATTTTGTTTTCAATTTAGAAAATCATCTCGCTTTCACAAGAGTGCCATCGTCGTATCTGTAAAGCACTTTACGAGTTCTCTTTAATCGATGAATGTACACTGTACACTTATTTAAGCCATTTAAGGGACAACGTACCTCGATGGATGCTCTTCTAATTTTAGAAGACTTCTGATCATTCGATATAATAAAGGCAAGTTGAAGGAATTTTTCATGCTGTTAGCTACTCTTTCCTAATATTCTTAGAATAAAGTAGGATTATTTAAGTCGATAGAACGTTCGAGTCAAGCTGTGAAATTTGTCTTGCGATTCGAGTTTGAATGTTAAGATGTCGAAGTTTGGTTGACTCAAACAACGCTGCTGTCTTATCGACGTACGAGGGGGACGAAATAACGAACGAGTGTCTTTCAATAAAAAGTTGATTTATTTCGAACCTCTGTGCTCCAAGGCGGAGACGAATAATATCGTAGTTTTGAGTCCGTGCAACATTGTCGCAGACTTCGTCTAATATAAATTCGGACACTATCGATCTTTCGTTTGGATTATAACCGGTTACAGAGGAATAGGTGTAAATTAAATGCTTGGCAAGCGAGTGCATTATAAATACGTCAGCGAGATCGTTGCGTTTCGTACGCGTGGAAAAAAATAGCCATTTTGAATTTAATGGCTGTGTAACATATTTAAAACGCTGGAATATCAGAATTCTCTTTCATGGGCGCATTTCTTTTTTTTCCGTTTACGTATACTTTCTGATATAGCATATTAAAAAGAAAATACTGAAAGAAACAAAGAGGAGGAAATAATTAAATAACTTTGATTTAAATTACAACGACACTAAAAACCAATTTCTCATATGCGTAATATAATACAAATATTTATATATATATTTACTATATATATAGAAAAATGTGTATATATAATATATATATTAAACTCTGTATTCGATTCAACATCGAATTGAACATCGTATAAAAACCCTAACACGGTCATGCAATACAATTGCACAGAGAATAAAGACGAAGAGCTTGTAAATCCTTGCTGATTTTCGAGATTAACCAAGAAAACGCAAGGTGGAGGAATATTTCTTCGAATACGTATAACGTACGCAACGAGTCGTATAAATTAAAAAAAAAAAAAAAGGAAAGAAAACGAGATACTTTATTTATTTCGAATTGCTTGCAAACATTTCGAAAGCAAATCTTAAGTTACGACAGTCATCGTATATATCTTTCGTTAAAGAAATGTCGCAGGAATCGTGAGTTTACTTGAGAAAATATCAACTCATAACTTAAATACTTTAAATACTTTTTACTTACTTCGAATTGCTTTCGAACATTTCAAGAACAAATCTTAAACCACAATGGTCATCGTATATCTTTCGTTTAAAAAATCTTCGAGGAATCGCGAGTTCAGTTGAGGAAAGATCAGTTCGTAACTTAAATACGCATGCAAAGCTTCTTGAATTTGCACTATAGTCATTCTCCTCACTAAAGGAGCATTCTTTTTAACAAACCGGAAGTCTTTTACGACAGAAACAGTAATATTACAACTCTGTGAGTGTGTCGACCGAAGCTCGAAGACGAGATCTGTTGGCGGAATCAATCGGTCCTTTGCTGGTCCCTACCCCGTCTAGTCTGGAGACTATTTCTTCTCTCAGAGCCACAAGGACGCGTCTATCCTGTCGATTTTGTGGCGGTGCAATCTGTAGTGCCTCTTGAACGTCCGATAATGCGTCTTCCAAGAGGTCTGAATCGACTCGTGCCTTTGCTCTCGCGTAGAATGCTTCGTATGATACTGGGCGAACTTTCAGAGCTTCGTCAGCGAGCTCGATTGCTTCCGCATATTCCTGTTTCGATAAAAGACGAAAACAATTTCATCATAAATTACTTAATTCTATTCTCTAAATTCTCTAAAGATTCTACTCTACATATATCATAATCTTGAAACAACTTCATTCAAAAGCTGCTTTGTTACGATAGGGAAAAAAGGGAAACAAAGTTGCGTAACATTATACGTATATCTATAAATAGCTCAGCTGTGCTATGAATGAAAGTATTAGGAAACCTAGTTCGTTCAATATACGCAACTACTCACATTCATCTTGCGCTTGCATCGACTGAGGTTGAGCAAGAAATTCAGCCGAAGTTGCGCAAACGTTTGCAGTTGCAGCATCATGTGACCCTGCTCCTGCCCCTGGCAGTCCTCTTCCGGCGATGCTGGGAACTTTCGAAGAGCGTACGCGTATCTGTGCGATGCTTCTTTCAATCTATTCTTTCGATACAGCACGTTTCCATCCTCGAGAAGTTTGTTCAATAAAATTAATAGGACGTCGGGTTTTCCAGCGGCCATTGCCCAAGTGGCGGGGCCCAATTTTGCCCCGCGGCGGAGGAAACACTGCACCACCGGTATGTTTCGACATCCGATCGCTCGGTCCAAAGGTCGCATTCCGTGCAGATCGACGTGCTCGACCGCTGCTCCTTTCTCGAGCAACAATTGCACGAGCTTTGGATTGCCCTGGGAAAATATTGACCGCGACATTACGGAATTGTGAGTTTTCAAATCCCTATCCGATAATAATAAATCGCAATGCAGCTAATAGATCGGCAGTTCAACAAATTTTACGTCTTTTTTTTCGATATTCCATTTTTCTTCGGATTCTTTGCATTCGATATTTTACATATATTAGATATTATCCGTGCGACGTTGCAATATCTGTACACTTTGAAATACCATTCCCGCAAATGTATAAACGTAGATAACAGATAAATGTGAAATAATCTTACCTGGAAAGCAGCCAAGTCCAGAGGAGTTCTCCCAGTATTATCATTAGTGTTCACATCAGCGCCATGATCAATCAGATTCTGTACAGCAGCTAGTCTTCCTCTTACGCAAGCCCAGCAGAGAGCAGTCAGACCTTCCTTATCTCTGCTTTCCAACACGGAACCCTTGTCCAAAAATAATTCGATTAAATTTGTGTGACCTTCCGAGGCAGCTAACATTAACGCGGTGCGACCAGCTGGATCCCGTTGGTCCAGAAGAGATGCCGCATCATCCAGAATGGCATCGGTGCTACTTGAGAGCGTCCCTGTAATCGTATCATCAAAATGATTTCCTTCGAGTGAAAAATCTATCTGGCCAGAAACTTCCGCGCGCTATTATATCCTTCGATGTTACAAACATTCAATCGAGTCGAATATGGCTGAAGAAAAACGTAACAGAATTAAGAATAATTTTTGATATTAACCTTGCAGAAGTCTTTCAGCTGTACCCCAGTGTCCTTCTCTCGCAGCCAGCATCAGAGGTGACAATCCCTTCGCGTTCACAGCAGTTGGACTTGCTCCTCGAGCCAGTAACGCCGATACAGTAATGGTAGAACCATTTGCAGCAGCAATAGTTAAAGCAGTCTCTCCTATCAAAGTGTCAGGCCGATCCACGATCACTTCGGCCATGTCTAATAAATATTCGACAATGGACTCGTGGCCTTGAGCTGCTGCAGCAACCACAGCTTGTTGAGCAGCTTCCTCTCTGCCTATTTCTTGCGAACCTTCGATTTCGCTTACGTTGGTTGGAATTACCCAATCGCAGGCTAAGAGATAACCAACCACTGATAATCTTCCGTATCTCGCCGCGTGAACCAAAGGACACTGTCCTGCCATGTCCGTGTGGCCTAGCGAAGCTCCAGCAGCGGCTAACCTAAATCAGGGTTTGGATCTCTTATTGTACGCTCTGTACGGATCTTTAGTATGAATTTTTGTATAACTATTATTACATTTGTACCATCCTATACGCGATCGAAAATCATACTAAATTATTCGCACTTAGCTTACCTTCTGACAACATCGCAATGACCACGAGCAGCGGCCAACGAGAGTGCCGTGCAGCCCTGGCTGTTTGTTAATTCAACATCAGCTCCAAACTCCAACAGCAAAGAAACCATTTCCACTGAACCCTCATGGGCGTACATGCAAAGGGCTGGAGCGTTGCCCAGGTATTCGGTGACATGATTCGGAGATGCTCCTGCCAGCAAAAGCAACCTCGACACCTTAACGTTCGGGCTGTAAATATTCCTCAGCGTACACAACGCCGAAGAGACGCATTCGGTGGACGATGCTAACCAGATGGCCTAATCAAAGGTACAAAAGTGGCAGATTTCTTAATCGATTCTATCGTAACGGATCGTTGTAACAAATGCAAATGTGAGAACAGGTGGTTACCTGTAGATCGCGCGAAGGCCAACACGGAGCAACGCCTCTGTAAACGTGCGCCTTGAGTATGTGATGACCTAATTCGAGGGCTTTATCACCGTCTAGCGGTGCCTGAAGGCGGGACAACCTGTATGCAATGGCTGCATGGCCGAGCCTCAGATCGCAGAGGAACTTGGTCGATTCGCCCTCGTCTCTTCTCATCAACCATTCTCTGAACGACGGATGGAAGAACATGTAGGTGTTATCCAGACGTTTCACGAGGAATCCAGAGAGCATCTGATAGCAAGAGATGAAGAGGTTGTCGTATAACGAATGGGCGGGTTGCGATTCAGTAAGAGAGCATTGGATCGTTGTAGAGAATAAACATTCTCCCGTACAATTAAGTAATTCTTACAAAACAGTGATGATCAACGTTCGATATGATTATTTTATGCACTACTTAACATATCTTTCCATTCTTCACAAAAAAATATTAAGGTATTCTGGTTGAAAGTTGTTCAGTTGATTATTTGAAAAGGTATTTAACTCGTATAATATATCCTTTGCGACACAGCAAAAAGTAATTGCACAAGTATACAAAGAGTATATTATAAGAGATTTGTCTCGTTATGACGAAGAAGAGACTTACGTGGTCCACTCAAAGGCAGCAACAGTAAATGACGAATAATTTTATTATAGAATTCGTTTTCCGGTTGTTACAAAATTTATCTCGTTTATAAGAGAAACTTACTTTGAATCTCTGCAGAAAATCCTCCCATGAAACGAAGTGGTTCGTGTTCAGAGAGTTCACCGAGTAGAAGATTTCTGGTAAAGTCAGAGGATATAAAGCAGCCAAACAGACGCCTAATAGAGGTTGAACCTTGTCAAAAGATGTCGCTGTAGGGAACCTGAGGTTGAAGTGTAGTTGGAAAATCTGCGCTAAAGAAACTGGCAGTACCTGAAACACAAATTCCAAACTTATGTTCCAATGTTGTTCTTGATCAATAAAAAAAGAAAAAAAGAAGAAGACAGAATTGAGATACATCGGCAGATAAGATTTTATTCACCTTGTAGCTGGCAGACTTTGCCACCAAGTGACCACTCTCGATAAGATCGAGCGTCAGTTTTGCGAAGAGAAAGCTGCCTCTGGCTAACGCGAGCAGATGCGAGGCAAATCTCGTTTGATTCGCGCTGCACGACGATTCTGCCTTTCCATTCACCGATGCTGTGACGTTCGTCTGAATCGCAGGACTTTGAGCTAATCTGTATCCAATATAGTCGGATAGATCCCTAGTTACGTTGCTTCCGGTGTTATCATTGGCACCTCTGTCTAGAGACACTCTGGTGTAAGGTAGCTGTTTGGCGCATTCAAGTAGTTGCGTTCTTACTGTGCAGACGATTTTTAACCAGCTAGGAAAATTGGGAGCGTGCCTCGTTAGAAAAGACGCTATTGTGTCGCCTCGGTCTGGTCTGTGGTATTCTGCTTCGCACACGGCGTCGATTAATATCACCTGATAACACAACGTTATACCTTTTACATGTTAAAAATACTATCTTCTTTTTCATCAAAGAAAACATACATCGCCTTGCGATTAAAACTGCTCTACAACTATTCTTATAAAAAAGTCTTTTACTTACCATATTGGTGTCAGGCAGTCTATTAGTTTTCTTCAACGTCAACAAAGGTTCGATAATACCCCTTGACAGCGCGAGATCTGGATCGACAGTGCACTCCCTTTGTGACAAAGACCCCTGTATATGGGGTTCGGAGAGCAAATACTCCCTATAGGATATGAGTTGGGGAGCTTGGCATAATTGTGCAGCCAAAGAATGGATCAGGTCTGGTACCAAACAGGTACTGTTATTATCCGCTTGACAGAAATGATACGCTACTACGTGTGACGCTAATTCTCGAACCTGAAGAACAGAATTTTTACCAATTATTTATCGAGCTCTACCAATTGTTTGTTTGCTATCCATAAAAAGAAAGGAAATTACAAATTTTCATGTACCTTCTCATTAGTATAACGAATACTAGCGTGTAAAGTTGAGGTACATCCAATTCTCTCTTTTTCATCGGCTTCTTCGCTGATCTCCGAGGGAAGAGGCTGCTCGCGTCTCCTTCCAAAGCAGCTATGCTCCACCAATTGTAAAACTAGCGCAGTCTTTCCCGTTCCAGGGGATCCAGAAATCAAAACTCCAGGACTGGACCCGTTCACCACCGATTCTAGTTCCTGTAGTAGCCATTGGCGACCGGTGAACAGTGGATCAGCTTCTAATAGAGGTACTTCGAAGAATAAAGGCTTCAGCGTCAATTGCGTTGCGTGGTGTTGTATGAAGCGTACTAAAAAAGAAATAACTTTGTTTTATTCCCAAGTTTTATTCGAGGCTCGTTCAAAGAATTTATTCTTATCTCTGCTTCGAAGTTCCAATTCGTGCTTCCAAAACTTACGTTTCGTGTCGACGGCGCCCTTAATGTTCCCAGCCCTGGCCGATCTCCTGGCGCAGGAACGTCTATTCTTAAATTGGCCAAGTTCATCACTCTGGCCAGGTTGCGAGGCGTTCACGGAATGTCTTCTAGGGGTAAGGGGGCTTGAGCTGCCATTTGACAAGCCCGAAACGGAGACAGACATGGACATCGACATAGACGTAGATGCAGAAATCGACGTAGAAATGGAAGCCAAGCTTCCAGCACTATCACAGTCTCTGGACTTGCTCTTCCCTTTGACCTTTGTCTTAGGCTTAATTGGACACCTCAAGGCTGCAGCAGCTTCAGCTTCGCTGGACGTTCCAGTCAAAGTAGAGACTGGACTCGTATTCGTAGAGGCTAGAGTTTGAGTTTCGAAGCTGGTCAGACTGCTAAACGAAGCTGCTGAACTATCATGACCCTGAATAGGGATCCTGGATTGGCATGCAGCTGTACTGGAACGATTGGAAACGCCAGGTAGATCTGTTGTGTCTACACTGCTGCTTGCTCGAGTGTGATTTGAGCCAAGAAGGAGACCTAGCCTCATGTGGAGGTCCGATTGGGATGACTTCCTCGTCTTGGAGGACAACGGTTTCACGCAACCTCCTTCATCGTCTGAGGAAAGAAAGAAACATTTGGTTGTTAGATGGAGTGAATGATGGTTGAGTGGGAAGAACGATGCATAAATAAAAACCACATGGGAACACGTGTTTTCAAGATGCAGAATCCACTAGATACTGGTTTCATCTCCGTATTGAATTTTATCGCAGTTAATTCTCAATTAGTGTGACGCAGAATCAAATTTGCGATGGTAAATAATAAAAATAAACAATAAGTTCTTTAAATAGCTTAATTATGTCTAATTATATGTAATTATATAGTTATTAATTTAATCTACGATAATTTAATCTACGTCACACCCATAAAAAATCTCGACCACTCCTCTGCGAAGATTTGTTTACTTTTTTTCTGTTTTTGTCGCACTAAACGTGTCCAATCTGAAAGGGGAGCAATTCGTGCTACAAACACACCACGCGTTGTTGTCGAACTAAATCGACGTTTCGTGCATGCTTCAAACTCTGCTAGTGTTCTACCGGAAGTGTGAGGGAGGATAGGAAAGTGCCAGTGGGTACCAAGAAATTACTGGATAGTGAAACGAGTGTCAATCGAGCAGCCTGTGCATATACGTTTCATCGATTCTAAACGCGCGAGAAGATGCACACTCGGTTTCTAAAGCGTTCTCCCTGCCTGTGACTTTGATCCTCGGGTCGATGAGCTGGTTCAGCCCATCGTTTGCCGTCCCTTGACTGTTGCTCCACAACGATTTGATTTTCCCCAGCACTACACCCGGCCATCGAGACTTCCCCTCCCAAGAAGAGGCCATCCAAGCTACACCCATGTTGGTTTATCATTAATAATAAAGGAAGCTTCCTCCCTATTGTGTTACACGGTTATCTATTTTATTAGTAGTTGTTAAGTATGATTTAAAGTCGAATGTTACCTGACAAGGCGGAAGGATTGTCGTTTGCGACTGGTTCTGGCGACGATGTTCCTCGTCTGGATGATCTTTGGGGAACGAACGAGCTCCTGAGGACCTTTGGGTTTAGAAAGAACCTCTTCCTTTGATTCGGTGGGGTTGGACAACCTGTAATGAAGATCTTTCATTATATCTTGTGTTTATCGATTTATTAGACCGACTGAATTGAAAAATTCTGTTGGTTTTGTTCCTTGAAAGAAATCGAAGAAATCAGAACGTAATATATTTTAATATGCATTAATATTAATTCAAAATATATTGATCTACATACTCTGCGTCATCATCTGAAGCTTCTGTCGACCTTGCGACGAAGACTCCGGAAGTGCCGGCGGCTTGTTCTTCAAACCCTTAGCCATCGCCATAGAAGAGACACTTTCATCCCTCTCTTCTTGCTGAACAAAACGAACCAAACGAAAGGACCACTAATTAATCTTCACTTTTTCTTCGACCAATCCAAAACTAGAGTTCTAATTCCAATTTTTTCTGAATACCGAACGTTTTACATTTTGTGACTATACATAAAGTTTTCTACAACTATGAAACGAACGATCCATTTGTTAAAAACTTGTCAGAAAACGTTGCGTATTGGAAGAAGATAGTTTCTAAACAACATTCTAATCGACGTCGTTTCTTTCTAGAATTTACTCGAATGCAATCAACCAGAGGGAACAACATCGAACAATAGCGAGCAAATGACCTAGACATTCCAATGGTAGAGAGGTATGTTTCAAGGAATCGAGCATCCGCGTAAGAAAGTGTTACTCGACTCGATTCCAAGGGGACGATGACAATATGCTTACGTGCATGACTCTTGAAGGAAGATTGGCTCTCGTGGTGACTTTCGTACGAGGTCTGGGGCTACCACAGAGAGAGTTCACCGTTGATGACTCATCGATCCAGCCATCCGTGGGCGCGAGGATGGACATGGGCCCCGAGAAGCCGGTAAACCCCTCCCTGAAGGGTCCCTCGTCGTCGTCGTTGAAGTCGGCTCGAAGGCAAAGTGGACAAGCTTCGCTGCGAAACAAGCAGGAATAGCAACGTTCGTGACCGCAAGAATCGATCAATCGACGTTTCTTCCCTTTGTCGAATGGCATCTCGCAGGATGGACAGGTTGATCCACCTAACATACCCGTGGACTCCACCAGTGCTCGAATCTGGGCCAGATCTGTAAGAAAATTTACTCATTTGGTACAACGCGTACATTACTACTAAATATGTTACATGTGTATTACTATACATATCCAAAGAGACCGAATCAATTTTATAAGGGATGAAATTTTATCATAGTATAAATAATATCAAAACAATCATACGTTACTATTGCTTTAACGCTAGGTGGAATCTAGAACTCTAAAATCAGCAACAAATCGTGTAACCGGAATGTATCCTATCCTAAACTGTATCCTATCTCCATCAAATCTAAATTCTCACGTTATCGTCTACGATATGATTCTGGGAGTGAAACGTTTCCCCCAAGAAGACGCAGACGTTCCCTAAGAAGAACTGTAATAACAGTAAAAACGCTTGTTAACCATTTTCGTGCGTGGTTCGAGAATAGGAGGAAGGGGAAGCGAAACGGGAAAAAACGGTACGTCGAAGAGGCCGCGACTTCCTTGTGAGACGCAGATCGATGTTCCACTTAACAACGAGTTCGCGAGTTTGACAGCCAGAGAGACCATCTGTCACGAAGAATCTGCACAGGGCATACCGGTATCTCGGTTAGTAGAGACACGTCGTGTGTCAGGGAAGCGGTGCGGTTCGTTCATCGATAATGGATAAACGAGCCGTGGCCGGGAAGGCGCCATATACTTAAAGGATTCTAGAAAGTGAGGTCAAGAGAAGAAGACCTCCTCGCGTGCCCTCTCCTTCGTCTTTTTCATTCTTGCTGCGTGTGTACACGAAGAACACGCGGAACCTGCTGGCGCTTCTATTCCTGATCCTCGATCGATTCCATGTAGCATTGGCTCGTGTGCCGTACCTCGTACCGTACGTCATATACCATGAAATTTATGGCAGCGCCAGGTTAATGGTTCCGATGGATCCTTTCCACGACAGGCAAAATTATGTTTATGTTCGTATCGAAGTTTGTTCTTCTCGATCGGCTCGTTGGTACTCTTAGTGCAAGAGTTATAGCGAGATTGTAAGATTGATCGAGCGTTAATGTTTTTGTACTTCAAGAATTGAAACAGTAATTCGGAATATAAGAATTCGATCTGATTCGGGAGACTGTACAGCGTTAATTTAAAATTGTCTCTTTCTTCCTAGTATGTATATTGAAACAAAATTTTTGCTACTTTTTACAGCTACCGTAAATCAATCGGTGTGTCTTCCTAATCCTTTGATTCACAATTTTATTATATACTTACTATCAGAAGTACCAAGAGGACCATAAGGATTTTAGAGGCGATTCGACGTTCACGAAGAAGAGGTAGAAAACTCAGGATGCGTTGAACGGGTCAAGCTATGCAAATTGTAGATTAATACGATCATGGTGAGCAGTTGAGGCAGTTAATACGTGGGCGGTACCGTTGCGATCACTCTATGTAATTGAACAGTTAGGGGCGAGAATGCAGCGAATCTAGGTCCATTAAATGGCACAATGGTCTATGTTCCGAGAAACATGAAGATTTTTTGCTTAACCTCTCGTCCTATGACCTTTTAGCGCCTGAGCGAACTACGCTCGCTACATATTACAAGAACCTACTTGTTACTTGGAAAGAGTTAATAGAGTTCTTTTGAGAAGTATTGAAAATGTCACGGTACCAATATTAAAAGAACATATTATGGAGAAACAGCAACTGATGGCTGTCTATAGATTCCAGCGCCCGTTAAAGTCTCTCCCAAGAGAACCAAACCTATAAACGACGTTTCCCCAGTCATGTTGGTGGTACGACGGTTCATTCACATATACCGTAATCCAGGACAACCTCTTGCCAATCTAAAGGCAACCTCTGGCAGTTGACCGAGTAGCTCGAGTCGAAGCGTGATTTCGCGGGTTACACAGATGGAATGACGCGGCGAACGTTGAAAGAAGGAAGTAATTCGGGTCGCACGACCCTTTATCCCGGTAAGTCCACGTCGAGGCAGGTGCAACACACCGCCTGGGTTACCGTAAGCTGGGTCAACGCACCCAGCAGAGACGCAGAAAGAGAGAGAGAGAGAAAGAGAAAGAGAAAGAGAGAGAGAGAGAGAGAGAGAGGATCGCACAGTCGCTTCCACGGTAAACTCGTACAACGATGTCGTTTTCTCCGGAGGCATCACTGACTCACGCGTTTCCGCCGCGTGTATATCCAGTTTCCATCCTCTCCGCATCGGCAGTTCTCGCGAGATTTATAGACAGAAAGAGAGGAGTTCCGAGAGCCGAGGAGAAGTCGAAGGTCGAGGAAACGTCCATAAGATGTACACTTTTTCCTTTCTTCCATCTGGCGATTTCTTCTCCGTTTCTGGCTATGTATATTTAATTAATGGTGATCTAGTGTCTCGTTAATTGCGCTGGCTGTCTTGGCGTACAAGTTATACCCATTAGATTGGCGCATATTAAACTTCGTTTTAACACCACTTGGTTTATTTGAAATATTATACATTTAATCGATAATTTGCAGATGATTCAATACACTTTCTCAATAATATACCACGTTACGTTATTTGAAATTTATATATAAACTGCGGATATTTACGCATTTGTATATAGCTAACTCCATAAATTGAAAAGCAGGGAAAATGACGTTACAAACGCTAATTTTTTATTTACCTTAAAATTTACTACTATTCCATATCATGTTGTTTTGACAAATAAACTGATTTGAAATCTGTCGTTTCTTCTTTACGAACAGTATATCTTCCAACGCTTTTGTGCACCGATCGAAAACAACTCGATAAATAAAAGATCCTAGCGACTTTTTTCTCCAACGAAGACACGTCGATTAGTCGAACAAGGACGACTAAGCACGTTTTTCCTGGACGTTTACGAGACGAACGACACAGATCCGTTCCGTGATCCTTTTTTTTCATTCGCTTCTGCTATCGCAGATTAAGCGAGAACAGCAGTTTTTGTCGGTGCTCGAAGAAGAAACTCGATCGACGGAGGCGCTCTCGGGTATATTAAGCCCACGTTTTTTCCGTTTAGCGACGATAGTCACGATCTAGACACGTTTTACTTGCTGACATTTTGTATTGTAATTTAATGGTCTTCTTCGGCTCGTCGGTTTTTTACTCGCCCCTGCACTCGCTCGATCTAACAAGGTGAGAACGAGCATCGTGGTTGAACATAGGAGAGAACTCGGTGCGCCGCGACCCGTATAAATCCGGCATCTATTATTCCCACGTTTCCTAGACCGTGACGGTTCTTCGAAACATCAAAAGGCTCGATCGAGTAGGAGTTCTCTCGGAGCTTTGTGAATGCTTCTTGTTTTTTTTTTTCTTTTTTCTAGTATTCGAATTTTTCTCTTGCAGGATCATAGGGCAGGCCTCCAGCCGCTTTTCAACTTTCTCCAATTATTCCGCAAACCGCGAGAATTACGATGCCGCATCGTCGACGCTTTCGTGGAAAATGACCTGATTTCTTATCGACAGCAACCAGGAAACCGTACATACACTTTGATCATGGAAGTCTAACGTCGTTTTATTCCTTACGATTCTTTTCAATCCAATTTTAATCGTTTAGTTACAGTGTGGTTACGCATGCAGCCATTGACGCGTGTCGATATCGGTTCCGCATTCCTCACCCTTTGGCGAACTCTGCAGTGCCGAACCAGTCGCAGCGTCGTACTTTTGCGTTTCGATTTTATAGCGGCAAATAGAATCGAAAGAACGACTCATGGTGTTATAGATACAGGGTAACACGGTTAGAAGTAAAGCAGATATTTCTCAAACTATCTGTCAAGTATCGGTACGTCGGCGCTGTTTCGTCATAGAGGTTCTAATCGATTGCGTCCCTGTCTTTTCCAAGTTAAATGATCAAATGACTTACGATCTAAGAATACTAATTCTTATTTTAATAAATAAGTAATTGAGAATGATGATTTCTTGCCATTCGTCTTTCTGCAATATTATCGAATAATATATTAAAGTATATCGAACAATTCTTTTTGGACTTTGACAACTTTGACTGAAAAAGCTTCGTGGCTCAAAGCAATTCGATAGAACCGTTCATCGTTAAGAAGGCAAGAGAAGAGAAAAATTCTGCACAAACGAATAATCCTAAACCGAATAATCTTCCACTGGAACCATCGCAAATCGTTAAATCCAGCCTGTCCCCGTTCTACCTTCCCCTCTGCTTACGAACCAAGCTCTTCCTCTCTTTCTGGCTTCGTTGGTACGTTGGTGTTCGAACAGTATCAACGGGACGGCGATAAAATACGACGTAGCCGAGCAACAGAGCGAGAACGAGCGCGATTAAAGCCCGCTCACGAGCCGAGGGAACGGAGCAGAACGACGCGACGTCCGCACCAGGGGCCACCTGTCCTGGTCTCCCCAGTCGCTGTTTCCGTTCTCCGTTGCGCTCTCTTGCTCCTGGGCCATGCTGCGTCCTCGTAAATTGGTACCCCGTCGCCGACTGGCTGACCCGAATCGAGATACTGGCCGGGGAAACACCGTTTTTCATTTACGCCGCTTTCGTTCTCGTTCTGACACCAAGTTCCTTCGTACGACAGGTTTACCATCGATATTTTGATAATATCGAAGATACATTTAATCGTGAAAACAAAATTGCCGTAGAATTATATTTATGGGAAGAATTTTTTTTTTTAAGCGTTACGCAATATTTTCTTGTAAAATGTTTCATAACACGGTTTAATTAAACTTAAATGAATCTTAAGGCTGTCGCGATCGATGAAAAGGAACGGCCGCGTGTAGAGTCTGGTCTCGCAAGAACGAGTAGCGAAAGAAGAGGCCGAGGAAAAAAGGGAAAAAGATAACGCAGAGAGAGTACATGTGACCGTTTTGGTTTCGACGAGTCACGCGCAATAATCGTTATTTTGTACCCTGAAGAATGAGAGAAAGTTCCCCTACCGAGTCTCGCCTACGGCTGCAGTATTTACATCGACGCGACGCGACGCCTTCCGCTATACCGGGAGGCTACGAAATGACAAACGGTGCACCATGTGACGCCTCGATCATGCCTCTGGTTCGTGGTACGAGCAGAAAAAGAAGAACAAATCGGGATAAAATCGGTCGAGACGAGGAAAGACGTCGAAACGATTAAAAACAAGCGACTTTCACGAGATTCAGATTGGATGCCAAAAGGAATTCCTGGAATATCGATCGCTCGACTTCTTCGTCAGGGAATGTAGAGTAAAAAGAACCACCACTGAAACAGGCTAATTGGAAAACCGGGAAAGTAGGGTTTGCTCGATTAACGCAAACCTAACTGAAAGAAGAAGAATCGACACGGATTCGAACACTGTAATTTATCTGGAAATCAATTAGCCATGGAGACTGATGTACCGTGTAATTTGCATCTTTCTTTTGAAGATAGAAAATGTAAATCTAAATTCGGTGCTATTACAGATACTATACTGTAATATTTGCGACCGAGAAAATCTGTAGAAAAGTGGCACGAGATATTTTCTTCCAACAAAAATACGCTTATATTATTTGTCCACCGATTTAAATTTCGAGATCATCTTTGGTTTTACTCTCGTGTATCTCTGTTCCACTAAGAGAAACGAGACATTTTCAACTGCATCCTTCCAATAGAATCCCATCGTTGCACCGTTCTCCATGAAAAGTTCACTCTGGTATATAGAATCGTGGTGAAGAGACCTCGATAATTCTCCTCTGACGAGCATGCAACGTGTTCCAAACGACGCGAGTGCGATTAATAATCCAAAGTGTCGTTGCTCCGTGGCCGATGAGTGTCGAAACCGCGACTCTATTAGATATGTTAATCGCGGTTTATATTGTGTGGAAAGCGTGTGGTTACGACTAGTTCTTTTCTAACTTTAATTGCTCGATCATCCTTTAATTGCTTGGACGATTCGTTGGTAAGCAAATGATCGAGGCTTGTTTTGACGTCTTTAATACCGTTTATAACACTATGATGAATTTATCTTACGTTCGCGTGACAAGCACTATTGAATATTTACATGTAATATTTCATACACTGCATTGCTCGATGAGAATTCAAGCTTATACAGATGTAGCTCCATTTCAATACCGTAACAACTACCAGAGTAATCAAACCCAACAATTTATACATTTTTAATAGAAACTTTATAAGTTTGTGAAAAAAGTCGAACCTAAATAGAAATTTATTTCATTCGCCAAATATTATAGTAAGGCAAGGCCTTTCCTTTAAATACTACGTATATTATCGCGCATTACGTGCATTCTGGCCATTCGCACACTTTCAAATGTTGCATATCTCAACGCATAAATATCTAATCTAGTCATAACCTAATACCGTACTCAAAATCAAGTCAGACAATTCTCGTGCCTCTCAGCCAAGTTTCTTGACTCCGGTTTCTAATCGTCGCTCTCTCACGGGCAACGCTGTGTGGAGCATGGGTTTACCTGTCCGTTTCCACGAGATAAGGTTCAGGCTCTGGGCCGCGCGATAACGGCCGATAGATAAGCGCTGCTCTACCTCGACAGATTAAATCGTAGACGAGCGGGGAAAACTTCTCTACCGCCATGGGTTATCTGTCGTTTATCGTTGTGGACCGTTTCCCGGATTAAAATCTAAAAACCGGCCGAGTTCATGTCCGCTTCGAGAAACATTTCTCCAACCCGGACTCGTACAGAAAATTGAAGCCACGAATTCTAAAACAGCACGATTCCATTCTTGACGCTAGATTACGACCGATATAATTGTTTTCAGCTTGCTTATACTATTTAGCTATCTAATAACGTTTAAAATAATATAGAAATCTCATCCCTTGACCGTGCTCTTCTCGCTTTTTCCCATTTGTGTTTTTAAATAATCTATTGTGTCAAGTAATAAAGTTCGATCGTTTCTCTCTCACTGGTATATGCGTTTCGAAGAGTGTCATAAAAATTATTTACAAGAAAGAATTGAAATTTCGTCATAAGAAAAAATAAACAAGATCAATAATGAATAAACTTCAAATTTTGTCGCATTTATGGGAAAATTACATAAAATACAAAAATACATAATTGAACGTATATAAAGTATAGCATCTATCATAATATTTACTAGATAAAAGAGATTCCATATTTCTAATGAAATTCGTAAAAATATGAATTTCCATAAATGTCCGCAGTATAACAACGAATTAAAGAAGATAAATAAGAACTGATTTTGATCGAAATATCGATTAGTGAACTTGCGTAGTTTTGGAATTCATAGCGTCGATTATGCTACAGAAATAGTGCGCGTCTAATTAAACGAGCGCGTAACAGAACCGTTGCAAGAGATTGTTCAGAGTTTAATCGCGATCGCGATTAAAAGTCTACTTGGATGTCGATTTCTTTTTAGTCGGTCGCGTACATGGAAACCGCTTGTGTTTATACATATGTACATTCTACGGTTAAAGAGGTTCGATGCGTGGAAGCCGCAAGAGAGAGCTCTCGATTCAATCGCGCGTAACTGAACGTTTCGTTAGTTTTATTGCTCGCGACTATTCATCGACGATCATCGTAATTTCATCCCCGGACACGAGGAGGATGACAGTGATCGAACGCTATGGGATTCATTGTTCTCGGCACACTTCGATCTATCGTTTAATTCTTCTAATAGTTTCATTGCTCGAATTTCTTTTTCTTTCTTTTTGATAATTTAGAGCTAGTTGCGAGATAAAATCGAGCAAGATTGAATATATTCGTTGGGCAAAAGTGTTAGATCAAGTACGTTA